CAATTCGGTGGAGCAATGGCTAAAGCTCTTGATAAGGGCTGGCATTTGATGTTTGATGTGGGGAGGCTGGGGGGTCTATGTGGTATGGTAGGTATGTATGGGTAGGTGGATCAGCAAGTCTGGTAGTACCGGTAGGATGATTTGTTGGTGGGCTGACTGTAGGGTGGTAAGCTGAGGGCGCAGGTTGTTGGGTGTGGGGCTCGAGCCAAGGTCTGTGTAGGGCTTGATTTGGATGATTTGTACTTTTGTTCAGCGAAGAAGATGAGGAACACCCTTCCGAGTGCCCCCCATCCCCTTCCAACATAAATGCTGGCTCGTTAGAGCAAAGAACTCCGGTAACATGAGGGCGTACGGTAGGTTTGGTAGGTGGGAGCTCGAGCCAAGGTCTGTGTGTACCGGTAGGATGATTTGTTGGTGGGGCTGACTGTAGGGGTTTGGTTGGCTGGTCAAAGAACGACTAGTACTCCAGGGAGGGGAGTGGAAGCAACACACCGACCCAACAGTAATCAGCACAGGGGCACCATCAGATGGTCTACTGGCCTGGCATGACATCACGGGAAAGGAACCGCCAAAACACGCATGTAGAGATTGTGGTGATGATGTATGATGGTGACGTCGACATCGACAGTTGAAAGTAGCCTTGCACATGGAAGATTGCAAATGGTAGATAGTGTAGACAGGATCAAAGGTTGCATGGTATTGGGGGTTTCGATTGAGCAAAGATACTAGCAAGGAATGTCGGAATGTGAACGGCGGACAGTAAAGAATCTCCGAAGATGAGTACAGATGTGGCGGAAAGCGAGCACCAGCAAGCGATGGTAGGGCCATGTAGGGAAGGGCCATGTATGAAGGAGAAAGTACGGTATCGAATGACTGACGGCGCCATGGTCGGCGAACACGTAGAGTTGATGTAATTGAAGAATATGGTAGACGATAGACGAGAAATGAAGGAAGATCAATTGGCTCGAAAGCGAAAATAATGAGGTCTTTGTCAACACAGCTTGGCTAAAACTTCATCTTCGAACTTCAAAACTCAAACATCAAAACTCAAACATCAAAATCAAACATCAAACTTAAAGAAGAAACCATCGCTCGAGTACAAAATACACACGATCCCTGTAGGGCACGCACAAGAACAAAACGATTTGATGTTTGGTTGGTTTCGGCGTTTCATCCAGTTTTTTCATTTGATTTGGTGCGAATTTGAGTTTGGTTTTGTGCCGCCTTGTGAGTTGAAACGTGCCTTTTCAAAAATAATTAAAGAAGCCACATGATGTCACGCTTCGTGGGCATAAATGGAATCTTTGGTATTTAAAGTGACAAAAACTGGGAGTAACCGTCGTAAGAAGAAGAGTGACGTCATTTTCTCGTTAGTGGCCTTTTGTCTGCGAAAGGTGCAAAAGACGAGGGCCTCGTGGGTTGCCTCCATTGATGCGGATGATCATGATGGTCTCAACGGCGTTGAACGTTCTGCTGCTCTTGCTCTCCACTAGTACCGTCGCCATGGCCTTGCGTCATTCCCACAGGTTGTTTGTATACGGCACTCTGAAGCGAGGTTTCTACAATCACAATGTCTATCTACGCCTCGCCGAGAAGTCGGGAGCTGCCATTTTCCTGGGCACGGCCCGTACTGTAGACACTTACACTTTGGGCATTATGGGCCCACGGTGTATTCCAGCGTTATGGGAGAATCCGTCCAAAACCGGCCAGCAAATTGAGGGCGAAATGTTTGGCATTTCCGATCGATGCTTGGCAGCCATGGATATACTCGAAGGTGTGGCAACAGGGCGGTACTATCGAGTGAAACGCAGCATTAGGCTGGTTTCTGCCAAAGAAGAGGAGGAGCAACCAATAATGGATTGCTGGGTCTACTTGCAGAAACCACCGAACGACGATGACGAATTGGATTCGTCATGCCATGAATCGTACACAAAAGACCTCCATGATTTGTATGTACCTCCCTCCACGGAACCTGACCCAACCATACTAGAGCTGCTGAACGAGTCTGATGAGAAATAAACGACGTTCATTGTGAAACAGACAAACTGCTCCGAAAGGCAATCTCATGAACGACGGACATCTCTCGTACGGACGAGTATTCTTGCCTTCTAGTAAGGGCTCTGTGATTAGTGGTGGCGTGTGGGCAGTTGGTGGTTGGGCTTTTTGGTGACTTCATCAATGAATGAATGAATCAATGAGTAGCTACACAACCTCGTTTTACGTCTCATACCGTATGGATTGAAAATTCAGTGGAGTTTATATCTCCAGCTTGCATGCGATGTTGACCTATCATTCAGCAGAAGAAAAATCCGTACTACGGTAGAGGTATCTTGCATTCCAGAAAGCGTCCACAGCAGCAATCTTTTCGGGAACACTAGATAGTCGGTTTGAACCTAGTTCGATTCTTAAACCTACATGTACAAGCTACTACTAGCTACGGTATTATTAGTCTGCTGCTTGTGCCAATGCTTGGGATTTCTTCGTTTAGGCAGAGGCTGCTTCTAGCTAACTAGTTTGGAGGAGCTTGGTTATACTCCTTGTTCCTCCTTTTTCTGTAGTTTTTTTTGGCTATCTAGCCTTTCGTCGATTTTGGTAGCCTTTGCTAGCCTCCACGCTCGACGCCCGCCTGACGATGAAAAAGCAAGGATTCCGGATTCGATCTCAATCGGGGGTCTTCATGGCAAACCCACAAAGCGAAGCCCACGTGCCGCAGCAACCACCAAGCCATTTCCTCAACTAGCAAGGAGCACTGCACCAGCAAAATGGCACCAAATGCACGCGACTCAAGGAGATTGAATCATTCGCCATGGCCGACGACGAGGACGGCAACAACAGCAAGGCTAAAAAGCCAAAGCTGCCGAGTCCAGAAGAAGCTGCAGCCACGTCCCACGACGGAGCAGCAGCACCGCGAAAAAAACTTGTCGATAGTCTTCCGCGAACGTCAGGGGGGCCACTTCGTTTTCGAGTGTGTAAAACATCTCTTGGAGGAGGGTGCCTTACAAGGACAGAAGGTTTTCCGGTTCGAACAGAACCCGGAGGAGCTCCCATCGGTGGGTGACACAGTAAAGCAGATGAACGAACTTCTTAAGGCGATCCCAGGGCAGAAGAGCCGCATTCTCTTCCATGTGGATGAGCACCAAAGGATGAACTCCGACGCGTGTTTTCGTCGTGGTGCGCTGACAGTCTTGCCCGCTGCCAGCGAGCTACCTGTGTAACCACCTACACCGAGATCCCATCCGAAGTTCCTGCAGGTGGATCATCTGAAGTTTGTCGCCGTCCTGTTCCAGTGCCAGTACTGGATTTGGCGCAAGTCTTTAACCACATTCCTCAGCTGAACATTCTCAGTATGCTCCAACCAGGAAAAGGGCGAGCCTGGGCTACTCTTGTATTCAAACTGGCCTTGCATGTCCGCCCCATTATGCTGAAAATTCACTTGGGGACGGTAAGCTTTCTCGATGATTTTAACCAACGTCGTGAACGAAAAGACATCCCCGGATGTCTGAGCCTCTGCACGAGGGCTGGTACTGTGAGGAATGCGACTTCCCAGAAAGGTGCTGTCAAGCTGATGGTGGGAATCGCTGACTATGAGCTTTAAAAAACTGATTTTATTAAACTGCCAGCTGTGACAGTTCTTGCCAATGGTATGATCACGGGGACGACGGAATCCTTGTTGCGGGCGACTGATCCAGATCATCAAATCTATGGTGAGGGACGCCAACGCTTTCTCCGTGCGCTCAACGAGCCAAGGAGCAGTGGCATACTTGCAGCGACACCACTTGAGGCAGCATACAGCTGGTCCCTGTCTTGCATTGCTTGCGACGCTGGAATCGTGGAGTTCTCCAGTAGCTTCTGGTACAATCTCTTTCCCCAGGATCTTCCCAAGAGCCTTCAGAAAGGACGACTTTTCCCCGCCTAAGACAACCAGGTTGTGACCGGTTTCTCCAGCATCGAGAAGCAGACTGTTTTGTATTATGCTGACGAGAATAATAGAGCAGGAGAGAGGACCAAACTTTCACATCCGCTGTGTGACATGTGGTTCCTAACCAGTAGGGATGAACTGGTCCTTATTGATGTGGTAGGTGGGGGCAACCCACTAGTCACGCAATCTAGACAGACAGTCATCGACAAGACAGAGAAGTTGAAGAATTGGATAAAGAGCGGTGCCGCCGTAAACCTTGTGGCTGAGGGGAAGGTCAAGAGTATTTTTGGCATTGTATTGGCACCGGGAGCGGAAGGGAACTCCATCGAAGACACCGATAACAATGTGTGTGTTGTAAAGGGGAGCGATGCTAGACGGTTGCTGGGGGGACTCGCACAGTGCTGGGAGTGGTTTGTTGGCGCTTGACACGGCAAAAACCAAGAACATCTTTATCCTGACCCAAAATGTTCCTACTCGTTGCGACTATCTGCTTATGATGATGACCTACGACCAGGGTAGATGATGTACGGTACATGTAGTCTGCTGCTTGTGTCAATGCTTTGTTCAGACAGAGGCTGCTTCTACTAGTATTTTAAAATATCCCACTCCGCGCTGCGGACACATACACCACCGACTTTTTACAAGTAAGTCTCTGAGTTTCGTTTCTTTGTAAAAACTTCGGACAATAGGATCTTGCGTCTTGCAGGTTGCAGGTGGATCATCCAAGGAGCGAGTCTGATTAAAATTTGCCGTGCGTGGTTTTGCTCGGAGGAGGACAATCGGAGAGGAGGAGAAGGGCAGCAATAGAGGTCACCCCAGCTCCAGTCGCAGTTCTTATGAATGTGCCAGCCCTTCTAATTGTCTACTTTCACACGGACATATGGCTTTTTAAGTCGAATGTCCGATGGTTTTGCTCTGACGGGGCACAGCCACCAACTCGCCATTCCCGCTTGGACTGGTGGGTTCTGTCAGTGTGTGGTAGCTTATATATCACAGACGACGGTACATCAACCTATATTTCACAATCAGCCCTTGTATAGAAGATACTACCTTTCTACTTGGTCAGGCTCAAGGGCATCTGGCTCCCGGTTCGGGTATCTTTCGGAGGGTGGAGTAGTAGCACAGCTAGTAGTAGCACAGATGCTGTTCAGAACTTTTATATCCTATCTCTGATACCGACAAGAAACCGCCAGCGTAGACTCTAGCAGGAGTATCTTACTAATTCTGCGGGAAATAGATACTCAAGGTGGTTTTGTGCGACATTTTCTTTCAAATTCTTCTCATTACAGCTTGGAAGCCACTGGTACCGGTACCGGTACGAGTACGCCAGTAAACGAGTATATGAGATATGAGTAGTAAACATCTAAATTTGACGAAGAGAACTAGATCTAGTTACCTCGTATCCAAAAATGCCACTACATCGTCTGTTCAAAGGGGGTGGCACGGGCTTAGCCTGGTACAGTGTATGGTCCAGCTAGCTACCGGTACTGGTCGGTAGCAGCAAAGAGATCAATGATGAATGGTGTCAGGGAAATTTGAGCAGCATCTCGATTTGGGATATCTTATACCAAAGGTATAAGATTATTGGGCTCCACCATCCTTCTTTGAGGGGCAGCTCTTCTAATACGTTGGAGAAGTTCACTTTACCCAGACTTATTGCTCTCCAGACGTACGTTAAATCCACCTAACTGAGCATGTCAACGAGTCTTACAAGTTTGTGTCTCCCCAAATGTCGATGACCTCCTTTCAACGTCGAAGCAGTGGAACATGGAGCAACACGTACGTATGCAAACTCAATTGCATCATCATCAGAGATCGGAGTGCCCCAACCGCGGAAAACATCCACTGCAACCTTCCAACTTTCTCATCTCATTATTTCTGGCTTCTATTGCTGTTTTACTCAACCTAATCTGCTCACCCACTGAACGAAAGATCAAGGCAGTCATCAGAGTTCCATCCATCATTCTTCAGTCAGTCAAGTCAAGTCAAGTCAGTCAGTCAGTCAAGTCCATCAGTCTTTCCTTTCCTTTGTTTTGTACACAAGAGATGTACGGTTTGGTGTTTGAAAAGTTGGAGTCGTTTGTGTTGGAAAATCATGGGAGAGACGCCTGGCATGCCGTCAAAGAACATGCTCATTGCGCTGTAGCCGATGGTCAGTTTCTGCGTCGTTCTCATTATGCAGATCAGGAGCTGATTGACTTGGTGGTGGCCGCCTCCGAGTTGACTGGTGCCGCAATTCCCGTCATCTTGGAAGCGTTTGGGCATTACTGGTATCGCCAAATGCACGATGCCGATGGTCATGCCACGCTCTTACAAGCCCAAGGCAAGACGCTGCGGACGTGGCTCTCGTGTTTGAATGCCATGCACGATCACATTCAAAAGTCGTTCTGCAGCAAAGCCAATAAGGACTCCAATTTCCACGCTCCCATTTTTTGGTGTGAAGATTGTTTAGTGGAAGACACAAATTCAAGCAATGAAGGCAATGAAGGCAGTCTTTTACTGCATTACTACTCCATGCGAGGAGCCCTACTGGTGCCCATGGTGGTGGGCATTGTCAAGGAATTGGCCGCGTCATTGTTTGACCTCGAAATTGTCATGACACAATGGGCAGCTCAGGGAGAAGACGATGCCGAGTTTACCACGTGGAAAGTACAAGCCAAGGATCCCAAAGATGCCTACAAGCTCACTCCCAGAGTTACTGCTTCACCACACCAACACACACAACTAGTAGTGGAAAAAGAAGGCATGCTTCAAGGCAAATGCCCCTTTACAGGGCATTCACTGTCACCAGAACAAGACGAAGATGAAGAAGAAGACAAACCTGAAGATGAGGAAGAAGAACCAGTTCCTGAAATGACAGCGGAAGCATCCATCCTGGTAGTCCAGCCATCCAATCCATGCTCTTCTCTTCCCGCAGACTGCGCCGTCTCTCTCAGTCACATGCAAACCCTCTTTCCCTTTCATGTATTGGTCAATCATGACTTTATCATTCAACAAGTGGGATGTCAATTGACGCCACTCCTCGTTGACAAGCGCAACCAAAAGACCGCATCAGAGCAACAACAACAACCAACACTCCTGGGCAAACACATTGGACAAGTCCTACAAATCAGTCGTCCCGTCTTGGGTTCTTCTTGGGATTGGAAAGCACTTCACAAACTCGCCGATCAACACTTTTTCATGGTTCCCAAAGCAGCAGCAGCATGCACAACAACGACTCCCAATCGAACTAGCAGTATGACTTCCAATACTACTAGTAGTGCTAGTAAACGAGCCAAACCCAAATCGGTGCACCACCGGCACCTCAAAAAGCGAGTCTCCATGGAAGGCAACACTATCAAATTCAAAGCGGCCATGGTAGAAATACCCCTCACCACCAACAACAACAATAATCAACAACAACACCTCGTCATGTTTTCGCTCGCACCCGATGCCCGTTCCGTCCGAGATCTACAATCCATGGGACTTACCATTCCGGAATTACCCTTGCATTCCAGTCAACGCGATGCCATTCTACTAGGAGAATACATTGCCCAAGAAATGCATCGCGCCCACGAACTCGACAAGTTGTCCAAAAAATTGCAAATGGAAAAAGACTTGTCCAATACACTCCTCTACAATATGTTACCGCCCACAGTCGCCAATGATTTGCGCACCGGCAATACCATTGAACCCGTCCAACACGACAATGTGACGCTGTTCTTTAGTGATATTGTCGGATTCACCACTATTTGTGCCCAAGTCGATCCATGGGATGTCATTGACATGCTAAATCAACTCTACTCGGTTATGGATCATCTCGCCGCCAAATTCAATCTGTACAAGGTGGAAACGATTGTACGTACTGATCTGATCTGATCTGATCTTGATCTAGATATTGGTGGAGGACGGTATAGCAGCAAGTTGCCGTTCGTTTTCATTGCTCACCGCCCTTTTCATCCATTCATTCAGGGAGATGCCTACATGTGTTGTAGTGGCTTGCCGGAACCAGATGATCTTCATGCAGGTAAGAAAGAAGAAGAAGAACGGTTGCAGAAAGGAGACGCATCGTCCTCACCCGCCGTTTCGTCGTCGTCCGAAGAGAACATTGCCAACTTTGCCATTGCCGTCATGGAATGCGTCAAGCACGTCAAGTCTCCAGTCGATGATACCTCGCCCATTAATTTACGAGTTGGAATGCACACGGGACATTGTACTGCCGGGGTCGTGGGGACGCTGACGCCACACTACTGTCTGTTTGGAGGTACGTACGCCAACAGCAATGATGAATTTGCGCTCTGGGTGGTGTAGTCGAGCTGACGACACACGTTGCTTGATTTTCGTAGATATGGTGAATGTGACAGCCAGACACGAACAAACAGGTGTGCCTGGAAGAATTCAATGCTCCAGTGATGTCTTTGGCCAACTCAAGCACTTTTCGAGTTTCGAAAAGGAGCAGTATCAGTGGACGCCTCGAGGACTCGTGGATATGAAAGGCAAGGGGGAACGATACACGTACTTTTTGGAGGGAGGCACAACCGACAACACACTGGCGGGCCCTGCAGCGGTCCAGGATCTCTACGAGGAAGTTCGTATATTGTTGGAAACGAACACTTGGAGGAAGCGACGGTACTTTCGTCGGTCGGGGGCATTGATGAACGGTGTTGGCAACAACAGTGTTGTGTCGGGCTCGGATTGGATGTCGGATATGAGCATGTCGGAAGCGGGCGGGTCCAACAGTCGGCTACCGGTATCGGACTCTTTGACGGAAGACCTTACTGCTAGCGCAGCGGGGTCGAACGCGCTGTTGGAGCCCGACGAAACAAGCAATGAAACGGGAAAGGCGGATAGTCTTGACACCCAATCCACTCGCATCGATGACCTCGATCTCGACCTGGATATTGATGAACACCTTCAGGGTATTGACGAAAGCAACAACGATTCCAACGCGGATGTCGCGACGAAGACAGATGCAAAAACCGCGGTGGTCCAGAATGGGTTGATGAGTCTTGTCTGGAACGATGACAACGTCAAACGAGAGGATTATGTTGCGATCGCCCATCAGTTGATATCCACCGTGATGATGGAATGTTTGCTGCACACGGGCCGTGGCAGTCTCCCCGACACGACGGAACTTTTAGACGGACAGCTTTTCGGGTTTGTCGATTGCATTTCGAAGTCGTACACTGCTCGGAACGCCTTTCATTCCTTTCGTCGAGCAATCCATCAAGTCGCTTGGGCCAATTACTTGTTTGAAGCCATACAAAAGCAAAACGCGAGCAAGACGTCACACCGTCTCGTAGACGACAATCCATGGTACCGATTGACGCTCCTATTGGCAGCTCTGAGTGTAGATTGCAAACACTCGGGTGTGTCGGGCGAACAGTTGCAAGCTGAAGGGCATATGGTGTACATGCTTCATGGCGAGGATATCAACTGCCAAGTTAGATACGCGTTGGCCTTTGCTGTCAATGCGCTGGAGGAGAACTACGTGGATCTGTTTCGGGAGTTGAACAGATCAATTCCAAACTTTCTCTTCTTGTTGCGACGATACGCGCTGTCCAAGTCGCCTCTTGACCAGTTCGAGAAAGTCATGGCCCACGACGAGGACGAAGCGGACAACGCAACCATGGAACGCACCGGAGCCACGGCCGCAGTGGTGCTCAAGGTCGCCTCCTGGGGTCACTTTGCTTTGGATGGGGCTTCGTTTGCAGCCTGGAACAAAGCAGCCATGTCTGAGAAACGTATTGCCAGTCTCGCTGGTCGTGGCCCAGATCCTGTTCCGACGTGGAACGACGACTGCAAGAAGTTGGCGGACACGGAGTTGCTGCCTCTGATTGACAGCTGTGAGAGGGTCCTCCGCCAGCCAACAGGATTGAAAGATGCCGTTTTGCGCAATCTTCAGAGTCTGCAGTAAGCGGAGCAGGGAATGAGGGAGCCAGGATGCACCAGGGTAGCGGCTATTTTCATAATTCGAATCAACAGCTGTACATGTAGTAAACCAGTTTTGACAGCTCTAGCTAAGACTAAGAATAGCTAGTGGTCTCTGAAGATGCTCCAAAGCCTACTGACCTGGCTCTCCTTCGAAAAGTTCCCTATTCCTATTCCTCACCCCTGCAGTCACAATCCATGACCATTCTCGTTCTTTTGTCCATCATTCCGTGAGCATTCAACTCGACTCCTTTTCGGCTTGGCTGTTTTCAGCACCCCACCTTCATTCTTTCATCTTGCATGCACTTGCCTTGTCCGTCTTGCTAATCTCACAGCTGCGCATATGGATTGTACATGGTCCGTCGCTGCTTGGCGTTGGTGGCAGCCGCCGCATTGGGCAATACGGCCGCCGCTGCCATGGTGGCATCTGGATATCCGTATCCTCCGGGTGGTTGCTGTGGCTGATGATGGGCGGCCTGTGGGGCATGATGCGCCTGTTGTTGATGCTGTTGTTGCTGCTGCTGCTGCTGATGTTGTTGCTGTTGTTGCAAAAACTGATGATACGAGTGAAAGGGATGTTGCGCGGCAGCGGCGGCCGCTACCGCGTGAAATGCTGGTGCCGGTGCTTGATGTTGTTGTTGCTGCTGTTGTTGAATGGACTGTTGCTGGTGGTGATACTGCGCATGTTTTGTTGCTGCTGATGTTGCTGTTGCTGCTGTCCAATATGCTCTTGTTGTTGATGCTGTTGTTGCTGCTGCTGCTGTTGCTGATGATAATTGAGTTGGAGTTGTGCCTGCAACTGCTGATGGTGTTGTTGTGTCAATCCAGGTTGCTGCTGTTGTTGCAATTGATTGGCCAAGAGTGTGGCAGCTGAGGATCCAGTGGCGCCGCGGCCGCAACGACAACTTCAGCGGGTGGATCAGGCGCTGGTGGCTGAAGATTTTCATTATTGACGACCATGTCTTGTGTGTGATGAGGATGATGATGGTCCATGGCAGTACCACCAGGATCTTCGTCCGGTGTGGGCGACTTGCGTTTCTTGAGTACCATCTTTTTGGTATTATTCGTGGCAGCAATACCAGTAGGTTTCCGTGGCGTTTTGCGTGTGGATTGATTGAGGTGTGCCTTGTGTTTGGACTGTTCCAATCCATCCCGTGCAATGCCCCATTGGGGACACCATGCTTGTCGCCAATACGTGACGGTCCGATCCTGTCGTCCAAAAAGCAGTGCCGCTCGTGTTTTGGTCAATCCGGTGCGATCCATGAGTTTGACGCAGAGACACTTTTCAAATTCCGAGACATCGTCGAGTTGCAAGACGCCCTTTTTGGATTGAAACATGCGCGGCGGCGTGACGAGGGGTCCCTTTTCGAGGAGTGTGGGAAATCGTTCGCATATTTTTTCCTTGGTAATGGCCCACGTGGGATACCCAAACAATTCCTTGGCGGCATTTGGATTGTTTGCGTGCCATTCATCAGACTGAATGGTGTATCGTGTGAGTCCTCCGTAATGATTGTTTAGGAATTCCAGTAGTGTATTGGTGGATATCCAGTGCGGACTGTTGGCCAGTGATTTGATTTTTTCTAGTTTTCGTAGTTGTTTGGCGAGTGTATTGTTGGTGTCTTTGGACTTTTCGGAATTGGCCTTTAGTTTTGCATTTTCCTTGAGTAGTCGTTCAATGATTTCATTTCGATTGTTGAGAATGCGTGCCGCTTCGTGTTCGTCATCGGCGTCGTCACTCCAACAGGCCTGTTCTACGACCTGGAGTGGTACATTGGGTGCTTGACAGTAGACAATGTCATGAGTGTTGGTGGTGGTGGATTGTTTGTACGAGTCCTTTTTCTCGACCATATGCAATAAGCGACACGCTTCGAGGAGAGTCAACGGAGTAGTCCATCGTCGTTTCTGTACCATATTGTCTTGCAGCAACGCCAATGGCCAATGATGCTTGGCAATGACGAATCGTTGGGGTGGCGTGTCCGGTTCGACACCCAAATGACGACAAAATGATTTCTGGAGTGCGCCACTGACATTGGGAATGGCGACCAATCCCTTGCGCAAGTCACCGTCGTATAATTGACTTTGCAGTTCCGCGCAATTCACCCATTTGCAGCAGCACGAGTCCTTTTTCTTGACTGGCTTTTTTGGCTTGACTGGCTTTTCAACTGCCGTCTTGGCCTTTTCCTTTTCAACTGGTGCTTTGTCTTTGGCTGCTTTTTCAGTTGCAGTTGCTGTCTTGTCAGTTGCTGCCACTGAGGCTGAAGCTTCCACTGCCTTCGCTTGGACTTTCTCCTTTTCAGTTGCTGCCTCTGATGCTTCAGCTTCCACTGCCTTCTCTTTGCCTTGTGAGTCTGCTTCATCAACTTTGTCTTTGTCGACAGCTTGGTCTTTCTTGCTCTGGTCTTTCATGACTTGATCTTTGCCTTGGTCTTGCCGCTCAGCGTCCTTCATGACTTGATCTTTGTCTTTCATGACTTGAAGTTCTTGGTCTCTTTCTTCCATGACTTGATCTTGCTGCTCTTGGTCTTTTGGCTCTTCAGCTTTGTCTTGGCCTTGTGAGTCTGCATCTTTCTTGCCTTGATCCGTCATGACTTGATCTTTGTCTTTTGGCGCTTCCGCAACTGTACTACTAGTAGCATCCTTCTTCGGTTCATTCTCCTTTGCTTGGTCCTTCTTGTCGCTGCCGTCATCGTTGCCATTGTCATCGTCATTGGTCTTGGCTGCTTCACCAACATCTACAGGCACAACTGGATCTTGCTCCTTCTCTTCCTTCTTCTCTCCGTCCTTTAGATCTACTTCGTCGCCTGCCGGGTCGTCTGGGGGAGTACTAGTACTAGTATCCGTCGTCGCCAGTGGATCTACCGACATTGTAGTTGTCTCATCTTCGATGGTCTTGCCGATCTCGTCGGCGTCATTGCCATCCTTATTGCTCTCGTCCATGGTCTCAAGTCTCAGCTTGGTTGCAATGCTTGGGGGAGTGTGTGAAGCAAAGAGGGGGGTTGTGGTGCTGTATTGGTCCACTCGATTGTGCCTGGAGCTTGTAGTGGAGAGCTACGTAGCAAACATACCAGAGTGCACGTGAAACACTCTCCCCGATCCAATGAGGGTGCAATGGCTTATTTGCCGCCACAGTGACTTGAACTTGAAAGTGTGGCGGTGGAGTGGCTGGCGTGTTGAAGTGACGTCAATTTTGTTTGAACATTGAAATGCTCGGAAGCAGGTTTGCAAGTTAACTGATTGCTGAGGAGTGAGGATCGAGCCCGTGCTCTGCACAACAGCTACATGCGGTATCGCCCTACGTTGGTGGGGCTCTGTCACCGTGTCAACTTTGGCTCAAAGAGACGAAGTGGATGCAGCCCTGGGAATGGAAAGAAATGTACAGTTGCGGCTAACAATGTGGTCGCCTGGAAGCTGTCAATGGGCACACGAGAATGGCTGTCCTTGGGATGAATTGCCATTAGGGCTGCTGCCAACATCCCCACCAGCTGGAAGGTGTTCTACCGGTATGGGACGGGCACGTGAAAATGGATGTTCAGGAGTCGATATTATGGATTAGGGCTACTAGACACGAAGTACATAGTACTAGTCAGTTATAACCAGGACACAGCAACAACCAAAAGGGGCACCAATAATCTTTCCCAACAGGCATTGCTGAAGCTAGAGGTCACTGGGAACAACGTCACATATCAATCTTCTTTCTACCAGAGTTGTACATACTCTCAACTCCCATACTCGTTGCAGCTTGCTCAGGCCAACCCAATCGTTGACAAGTATGTTTCCTTATCCAGGCACCAAGCCATCGGATTGCTGCGCAGCAGTCCATACTGAATGTTATGCTTGCAACGCGCCTGATCGAAAACGGGGCCCTCCTTGCGATACAGGAGCGTCGTCAGGTCAGTTTCCTGCTTTTCATAGTTGGACGAAGCCACGTCGCACAAGAGACCAACTATTTCCTCTTGCTCGACATTACAACGACTTGCTTGGCGCAGTCCGAATCTATTGACTGTCTGGTAGTACTCGATCTTTGCCAAATCGTTCACAGCGATGTACCTTTCCTCCACATCTACGCGCCCATTGTCCCACCATGCATCAAGGGTCGTCATCGTCATCACTTTCTTCAGCGTAAGATTGCCACTCTGGAGAGATTTGCGAATACAAGAGATCACACTTCGATTGCAATCGAGGAACCCGTGAAAGCGTTCCCCGTCCAACAATGCAGTTGAAACGTGGTACCATGGATCCATCCACAAGTCTTCTAGGACATCATCAGCCTTGAGGTAGGCTTCAAAAGAGGTTAGGTCTACACAAATGTTGCGAAGTCGCAGGCGGCGAAGTTGGTGCTTTTCCAGTAGTGGTACCAACTTGTCGGCAAGGTCAGCTGGTGCCCCATCATGGTCGATATCAAGCTGAGGCCCATCCAGCCAGAGTTCACGGAGAGCCGGAAGATTAGCTAGTTGCGAAACCAAGCCCTGCCCAAAGTCAGAAGCAAGATCGCAGCCTCGCACCGTCAATTTGGCTATCGTACATGCCGGGGAGACTGGGACATCCACCCAGTCTGAACCAAACTCGCACGAGTCGATCTTCAGGCTTGTCAATTGACTGGCTGCAAGCAATTGGGCGAGCACGGTTGAAGAAGCACCAACGAACCTACATCCCTCGAGCCCAATGTCTTTTATCCGACTTTTCTCGTTGGTGGCTATAGCGGTGATGACTTCAAGAGTCTTGCGGTTGCTTTCATCCTCAATCTCTAGAACGTTTCTGTCGAGGCCATGGGAATCCCGGTATCTCGAAAAGCAAACTCGTTCGAGTCCACTGTTGCCGCAAAAGGCCGCCTTGAAGGCACAGATGATTGCATCATCCGACTCTCGAAACCCTGGGCATTGAAGCACGTTCCAATGCAGCTCTCGAACTGACTTGTTTTTCTCAATTTCTTGGAACAGATACAGGAGAGCTTCTCTACTGTAAGATTGAGCATCAAGCCACAGCCCCTTTAGTTTTGGAAGAATCAGTGAAAGCGCCACGGCTTGGTCCAGTCCCACCGAAATTTTGCCAATGTCCAACGGTGCTCGGGGAGAAGGGCAAGCCTTGCTATCCAACTCGCGTGCGAAATAACCAAAGAACACATGCATTGGGGCAAGACCGAAGTTGCCGTTCAAGCACCGCAACCACAATGGCTTACTCTTCCGAAAGGGAGGCTTCCGAAAGCGACGCGTCTTGTCAAACTCGGCACATCTTGGATAGGCGCGCAATAGGAGTAGCATGAGCCGAATCTTTTCCTCTTCACTTCGTTGAACTGACTTTGAGATAACTTGGTTTTCCACAGTCCGATGCGGCTCAAGCACAAAATCCAAGGGAATTTCATAGTCACGCCCCATTAGAGGCGAACGTGGTGGATCCTGTTCTACCATGATCTCTGTTTCCGCCCCACCGGGATACCGTTCAAGCAGAAACTCCAAGACTCCTTCTTGAGCTCCGTACTTGCAAGCATCGAGGACTCCCTTGAACTGGTGCTCCTGCTTTTGGAAGTGATCATGGGCCAACTCACAGATGGTTTGGACGGTATTCAGGTCTGATTGAGCCTCCAGGAAGAAAGACAGTGGACTTCGGGGGACAATCGCGCCCCTGCTATTTGGAGCACCACTGCCTTGAAAAGCTTCCTCTGCCAAGGAAGGGAATCGCTGAAGGATTGATAGGGCATCGTGGAATGGGAAGTGTTCATGCGGTACTCCAATACCACGATTGTTGATGTCCTCGATAGATCCAGAGAGCATCTTGAAGTAAGATTCCAACTTGGCTCTTGCTGCAGCCTGTGGGTCTGCCTTGCTCTTCTTCTTGGCCGGTGCCTCTCCGCCATCTTGGGTTCTTTTGTTGCCGATATTGCTCATGGTGATTTTGCTGCTCGCTCAGAGTAAATAAATGAGAAGAATTGTGATAGTCTTGTGGCTGGAGCATCAACTGGCCGTACTGTACACATGAAGGTTGCGTGACCCTTACCATACCTGCAACCGTACCACACACTCGAAAAATTTGTCGTGGCGGGTGTACTCCCTTCCTGAGAGGTGCCCAACGAATCTTGGCATGTTATGCTTAGCTCTGGCATACCGTACCGGTAGCTAGCTATGGATCGCTCCTAAAGATACGAAATACGAAAGATAGGTCAAAATATATGTGCACTATTATGTATACGTGTATTTAAATATCTTAGAACCCAGCCAGTTCGTTCGTTCACGATCGTCCATGCAATCGTTGCGCCGCCTTCATGATGGAGACGGGATCGTATTCCTCATCTGGCTCGTACATGCCCATGAGTAGTACCTCTTCTACCGTCCTTTTTCGTCGTTGTTGGCATCGTTGGACGGCCCGCATGTTCTTTAGAATTTCGTCTTGAGAATATCCCAACTTGCGCGCCAATTTCTCTCGCTTTTCGGGCGTTAGAGGGCCCGCCGACGAGTGGTTTCGGCGCAGCACAAAAAAAGACGATCCTTTGCGCTTGGATTCAAACGCCTCCAAGTCCTTGTCCTTCTTTTCGTGGTAGAGCCAGCCAAGACCAATGGAAGGACCCTGTTCGGGGGGATTGTCACCGAGGACTTGGTTGAACTCGCGCACTTTAACCTTATCAAACGACACCGTGCGCTTCATGGTAGGACGAGACGATCCCTTCATGCTGCTGCGACGACGTTGGTAGTTACCTTCGGAAGTCACTCGTAGTGCTGGCGTTCGACGTTCGGTGGGAGTTTCGCCCAACATATTATCCAAGTCCACACTCCAAACATCTGGCTCCGAGCAAGTTGAGGAAGAGAAGGTGGCAGAGGTGTGAACACTACCACTGTCACTCAGTTTAAACACATCCAAGGACTGGTCCATCATGGTCGAAGATTCAAGCATCATTGTCAGGTTCCAAAAGATTATTGATGAAAGATTCCAAAAGATTGATGATTCTAGAGCAAACAGATTTCTCAGAACCAAAAAAAGTGAGATTGTCATACCGGTGGCAACTCGCAAAGCGGCAACGTTGCTCAGAAGATCGCGGATCAGATCCTCCTGAACGAAGACATAAATAAAAGTCTGCGGTGTGAACTCCAGCTAAACTTGGAACGATTAGACTCAAGGAGAAGCTCTGATTAGGGGAACTTACACAGCTTGTTTCAGTGGAATCTGGAATACGGTAGGGTCACACTGTGACATAAAAAATCCGAAGCCGTCACAGTCCACAGTAAGAATAATTAGTAACACAGCATAACATATTTACTTCAATTGTTTCATTCAGAATCTTCAGAACAAATGACTGATGAAGTCTATAATTAAAAACAATCTGTGCCCATAATATGATGACCCAATGACATCTTCAACAGAGCATGATGTTAACTCTTACTTTGATCTTGAACCTGGAAACCCTGACATCATCATAGCGTGAATCGAATCAAGTTTTTGGGCATCTTAATTTTTCAAAAACCTCACCTTTGAATCTCCGAATCTCCACTGGTGGAGCTCCACCCGGTTGCCTGCAGCGCTGCAGCGTCAGCGCGCAGAATGATCACGAAACATTGGTAGTCTAATACATGTAGTGAGTACTAGCTAGCTAGCTAGCTAGCTAGTACCTGGTAGAGAGCTCGAAGAGCCGCATGTAGCAAAGAGCTGCAAAGTCACTTAGATCTAGTCAGAATCATAGAATCATATTTTTAAGCTCTGTTACTAGGTCGTGACGTCGTGACAGTACAATAACAGGGATATCGAGGATAGTGAGTCGAGTACGAGTCATAATTCATACTCGTACTGAGTATTGCCCGTCAAGATCATCGATCTATACTACTGCTTTAAATCCTCCCACTACTCCAGTAGTCAGCAAAATTAGAAGGCACTCAGGAGATAAATAAATACAATTGAAAGGAGTCTTATGCAGTTTCGCAACTTAGGAAGCGCTGTAAGAACCCGAATTGTCTTGCTTCAATGAGTTCCAACTTCCAACAAAGAAGGCGAGTTCAGACGGGGCAAGATACTCATCAGTAGGATTCAGGATTCCCGCTCCAATGCAGCTGCTGCAGATGCTGTGAGCACCAGCGTGGCTGGGTAACTCTCCTGTTACTTTCGTACGGTACTGCCTGGATACTTCACGGAAGTAGGAGATTTACATGTAGCTCATCGAACAACCCGCGGTTGCACTCCATGACCAAGCAAACTCCGATGCTGCGCATACCACAAGCCCGAACAATAAAGAATGAGATCGTTCATGCTGCCGCTGGCTTCTTGGAACTACTTGTATGCAGTACAGTAGTAACGAGATGGCTGTGTCCTAAGATGTGACAAGTCATCTGTCTTCTTGGTTTTTGCCAGCTTGCTTCAGTCGAGAAAAACTGAAACAGCCGAGGAACGTCTCTGCAGAATTTATGACCATGGCTGGTCAAGTAGCCGTGGTTCAACTGAGAAGATCCATCAAATTGGATGGTTTCAGGATCAACTTCACTGGCTGGCATATTCGAAAAGTGACACCTTTATCTGAGGAATTCGAGAGAGGCAGGAAACGGAATAGTAGTGAGCGAGCAGCCAACCAATCCGTCCTGCACATGTCCATTATTTGGCTGCTGTCTACTTTTGAAGACGTACTGGTAACCTGTGTGCCTGGTAAGAAGCCACGGATACTGCAATGCATTGAACCTGGGCATTCGTTTTCGCCGTCGAGTGGTCTTCTCTTGCCTGCCAACTGCCAACTCGCCTGCCTGAGGTGTTTCTTCTGCAAAGTTTTCCTTGGTTACTCACATGCTGTAAGAATAACAGCCAAATTTACTACCTATTGACAATACCAGTAGAGTGGCAGAGTTGATTCGCAAGAATGATGCCAACTGCTGTCCTACAAGCAATGCAGGCTACCGGTAGCTTGCTGGCCACTGGCTGCCCAGCTGCGAACCAGCTCCGTTTGTCGTTGCAATACTAGCTAGCTAGCTAGGCCCAAGGCAACCATTTCCACAGAGACACCAGTGCCCTCTGCTACCGTGGCCCTCTGGCACCGTACTGGTAGAAGGATCCGACGATGCGACGACCACGGTCGCAAAAGCTTCCATTGTGAAGGTGCTGGTCTCTACCCGGTACTTACCGGTGGTGCCGGTTGGGCTAATGCTTCATGCGATTTAGCAACACCAGACTATCCGGATAATAGAAGCCAGTTCCGAGCTAGCGAGCTCCAGCATTTTTTGTGATTGGCTCGCTCTGCCAAGCGCCAGCGAGTCCATTCACGCTTAGTCACACTTTTGCCTCATGACTCAAACCTATCGTTCTTCCTCTCCGCCGGAAATGGCACCAAAACATTTTTTATTTCTTCTTTTGTTATTGCAAAAGTCTTCTAACCTTCCTGCCTGCTGTTTGTTCTCTTTTTGTCATTTGACGTGGTGATGTTGGTCCTTCGCGTTCGAGTCTCAAGAGGAGACGATCATGGCTGCATGTTTTCGAAAAACGGCCAAGGTCAGTTCACGTTCCTTTCTCACCAGACTCTCACAATGGTGGCATTTTCCGGTGCTGCCTCAATTGTGCAGCCGCTCCTTCGGGGGCCCTTGTGGAATTGACTTGCCTGGTATTGCACCCTCGTCACTTCGCCGGAAAATGGCGCCAAGCAGTCTTTCACTTCTTTTTCTGTTTTGCACCAAGTCTTCCTAAACTTCGCTTTCTTTTCTGCTTCAAGTTGGTTTGTAACAAAAAGTCAGTTCTAGCCAAAGAATTACCTCTTCTTCCAAGTCTCGTCGTCGAATGTCATGTTCCTTGGGTGGAGTCGAGGTGGCTCTTGCTCTCCTCGAAGAAATCGTCTTCGCGTGCTGCTGGTCGACAGCAAACAGGATTGCAGACTTCTCCCAGTCTTGTCTTTTGGTTGGTTGGTTCGACTTCCTCCCTTGTCAAGCTGGTCGCCAGTTCGTGGGCCGGGGACTCTGAGACTGACTGTGTCCTCTAGCTAGTTAGTAGCTAAGGTAGTGTCACCTCGTGTTTGTTTAGTCCACCCATTCTTTTCGCCTGCCTTGGTGTTGGTTGGTTGGTTCGACTTCCTCCCTTGTCAAGCTGTGCTCCAGTTCGTGGGCCGGGACTCTGAGACTGACTGTGTCCTCTAGCTAGTTAGTAGCTAAGGTAGTCTCACCTCGTGTTGTTTAGTCCACCCTTTCTTTGCGCCTGCCTTGGTGATGTTGCCGTCCGCAAGAAGGCTCGTGGCTGGGCTGCTGACAACGGTCACTGGCCCAGTAGCTAGCTGCATATACTTGCCGTTCGATGTAGTCCCGGTAGTCGGCACCGAAGCCCACAGCTCGGTCAGATTCGGAACCCACTTGTGTGAGAGGAGAGACACCAAGTGCCTCCCCTGTAACTAGTTTGGTTTGCACAATTGAACAGCACACAAGTTTCGTAGTATTAATGCAAGGATAATATCTAGGAATGCTTATATGTGTAGGTTACCGATCCGTATCCACCCTTACCTATCTATGAGATAAGCTTATTGATTGCAATCTTCTACGATTAGATTAATAGACTACCTGTGGATGCTCATACTAGGGAGACTTCGTCTACGGTGGAGAAAGAAGTGTAAGCACTGCGCTGCCATCGAGGGTGGCTCGTAGACACGCCTGGCTTCCATCGCAATCCATGGTGACGCCTTCTTCTTCAGAGGTGAATTTGGCGTCCACACATGCTCTGTCCCCATTGCAGGAGGCCGTAGCATCAGAAGGGAGTTTCTTGAGCTTAGCTTCACGGCAAGCCCATTTGCCAATACAGTCCAAGTCAGTTGGTTTCCAGACTGTGGTCCCCTTACATGCCTGCCTGCTGCACTCAACTGTAGGGCATCCCAAGATTGTTCCATCCCGGCATAGTCCATTAGTTTGGCCTGCACAAAGGATGCTGTTAGCATTAGAATTGTAGGAGACGTCAGTTAGGATGTTGATGTCCTCTTCCAAATAGATTTCTCCCGTGGTTGTGGTCAAGCTGCAAGGGCAGCTTCCTTGGGGACCATCCTGGCAGAGCTCTCCGTGGAATTCACAGCCAATGTGAGAACTTCCTGTGTCCTCTAGCTAGCTAAAGTAGTCTCACCCTCGCTCGTGTTTGTTCAGTTCGACTCGAAATCCTTTCTTCAAGTTTCTGCCTGCCTCAGCGATGTTGCCGTCCTCAAGGCTCGTTGCTGGGCTGCTGGCAACGGCACTGGGCTGGCTGGCTGTGTACACCTGCCGTCGATGAGTCTTTGCCGTACCGGTAGTCCACAGCTCGATTGCACAGATTCATTCGGAGCTCACTTATTGCGGGCGCCGATGTACCGTAGCGTCGTCGGTTACAAGTTTGGTATGGCAATTGAACAGCATGCAAGTTTCTTCGTATGCAAAGATAATATCTAGGAATGCTTATACGTATACAGTGTTTCTATCTTACATTGACCTTCGAGAGTCGTCAGATGATATATTCAGGTGGGTGCTTGTATGTACTTTGTCTTGTGGGAAAGAGCAGCTCTTCGTTGCCTTTGCAACGGGCGACATCTGCGTCTGCTTGGTTGCCTTATTATGCTGCTGCTGTAACTTACACTTCACAGGTGAGTTTGTTCACCTAGAATGAGTCGAGTGCGCGTGCGATGATGGTCAGATTGGTTCTCTAGAGTCAGATCAAACTCAAATGTTTGTCTCGACCTCTGCATGCTCTATGCTTCTTTCTTGTACGTGAGGCGACTCAAGATGAGGAACCACAAAAAGCCAATTCCAGCCGTAAATGGCACTTGCAAGTGTTTGGGCATGAGGGAAAAGTTGACCAGCTGGGCCGGCACCCAAAGAGACCAGTACTTGAGCAATAGATTCTCATTGCGGACATCTTGGGTATACTTTTGCAGGACCGATTCTCGGACGGGCAACCGAAAGTAGAGAGCCTTGACCAGATAGGCACCGGGTAGCCAAATCAGCGGCGCAAAGACAAAGTTGTCCAGCGCACATCGTCCGGCAGCACCCATCAGACCACTGTTGGCGGCAAAGATGCGTGGGAACAGTTCCGTGTAGGCCATTTTGCCTCCCAACCCCAGAATGGTGGATCCATACGTCAATGCCGAGAGGTTCCGTCTCAGACACATGGACGTCGTTGCAGTCTTGCTGCTCTGTTGCACTTGAGACAGGCCATCGGCAATGGCCGACTTGACACCACACGTGGCCATACCCGCCAACAGTGGATACGCCTGGTAGTAATAGGGAAGGCTGGCAAGGACAAGAGGCAGCTTTCGCAACGCAAACGACAGCAAGACAACGGCCGTGTAGCCGCCAAGGCACTTTAATGCCAGCTTCTTTTGGGCACTACCATTATCGCGTCGAAACGCCAATTCGTCGGCATCGACCAACAGGTTGCGGTAGCCACGGCCACCACCAATCATGAGCTGAGGCTTGTCTTCCAGGATTGTCATGGGTCCATACGACGTGGAGCTCATGGTCAGAGCCTGATATCCTACCTTTGCTACCGGACTGATGGATCGACTGCTGCTCACACCAGCATGATGATTACTAGTAGGCGCCAGACCCAGCACGCATCGAGCGACAAGGAGGAGGAGGCCAAGGAAGGAAGCAAACCGCATCATTTTGGCTTGGTTTTAGTGGGGAAAAAGAAAAAGAAGAAAAAGTATCGATAATCCAGAGCATGAGCACCGTTGGTTTGTGTGTCTGTCTTCTCCGATTATTGCTGTGGTTTTTAAAAGGCTATTGTTAGTTTTTTTTCATGCTGCCACCAGGGGTCAAGAAGAAGAAGAAGAAGAAGAGAGATGGCTGTCTCCGTGGCATACATACATGCGAGAAAGCTAGCTGGCTTGAGCCTTGAAATACAAACGATCGAAGATTCATCCAATTCCAATTCCCTCCAACCACGTTTACACGAGAAAAAGTGAGACGGAATTTGGATTTCAGAAGCACGGGAAGCACCGACTTGCCAAACCGGTTATCTTTATCTATTTTATAATTAGCTGGCCGGCTCCACCACGCACTGGGAATCCAGGAAACGATGACACTGCAAGCAAGAGAAAGTGTCAGCTGCTGCATGCTCGATCTTTGAAATCAATCGCGTGGGTTCCTTGCTGATGATGAGGCTGTTAGATGCCGGCAATAGCCGTGCTGGTTTCTTGGTCTTCGCGGGATGCTGCCGGCTTACTTTGTTCTAGCTAGCTAGCTACCAAACGGCAGCACTCCGAAGTCTTGCTAGCTAGGTGGTACCGTACAATGGCCCCAGCACTGTAATGCTGTCTACCATGGCAGCTACTGTACCAAGGCAACCCCAGAACTGGATTATCCCCAAGACTTTCCGCAGCACTAAAGACCCCAAAGCAGTTGCCCCCAGCTCTCCAATGCCCACCGGTACTACTATGGCAAGCCCCAGCACAGGATTGCCCGGCAGGACTTGCCCTACTAGCACTACAGACACGCAGCACCATAAGATTTGCTTATTATGATTACTCCAATGTCTACTAGTAGTAACATGGCCATCCTGAGCACTCCGATGATTAAAAACGTGACCAGCCCCAGCACTGTATTGTCTATAACATGGCCAGCCCCAGCACTCGAATTTGGGGATGAGCAAACTTGCCCATGGCTCTGTGTTGAATTTGTTAGAGCGTTTTTTTAAAATTGTGTTCTCTAAGCCAATCTTTTACTTTGGCTGTTTTTCTCTATTGGATTCGATTGGATTGCATTGGATTAGATTGGATTGCATTGAATTACAGTTTACTATATAAATAACAGTACTATTTGGAATCCAATTCAATCCAATTCAATGCAATCGAATCCAATGCAATCGAATTAAATTTATCTTCTGGCAAAAATACGAATTTCGTATTTTTAACTGATTTTGGCGAGTCTCACTCCATTACAATACAGGGCTATTGCAAGATTTGCCCATCCCCAATCTACCATGAGCACAAAGCCACCCTCCAATCCAAAACCCCCTTTACTTATTCTTGGTACCAAGGAGTGTACCAGGTACGAGTACACGGTACTAGTACCGTAACGGAACTGGTCTGTACCTTCGGAAATATGCCTGCAGAGCGACGAGGACGTTGTGTCGCAAGAAGAGCTGGAACGGTACCGGAACGAGTTGGGCTTCCATGGAACCGACTTGAATTCAATCGTGGAGGATTGCCAAGCCCAGAAAACATAAATGAGCTTGACAGGTTTGTTGGTTGTGTCCAACAAAGATATTGTTTGGAATAGACTAGTTTAGTTGTCTGGATGCCAATACATACATGTACCTGAAGTATCGCACTTCGAATATCAAGGAGTTGTAGACAGCTCAACGAACGCGGCCGTGGTGTCGTTTGCAAATGTGGCATCGACGAATCCCTCCTGGAAGTCAACCCTGATTCTTGGACGACTATCTCGCTACTAGAGGACGCTACTTACGATTGTCTAGCTACTAGCTAGTAGCACACTCTTTGTAACGAACGGGTGTGGTCTATTCAATTATGTCCAAAATAAATGAAAAGAATAATATGCAGTGATACGAAGACGAGCTCACTACTACTTCCAGTTCGAACCCAGCTGGCTGACAAGGAAAACCGATCCTCGCTTCCTTCCTTCATCATGCTTCTGCCAGACGGTTGCGTTTGGTGGCTGGATTGTCCCCTGCATTGCTGCTTGGCATTCCCACACCGTCTCGTTTTCGAGACAAAATGGCAGCCATCCCCGGAGCAGAACTCAACGTTTGGAAAATATTTCTCGTCAAGTCCCGTGCCGACATTGCAGGAGGAGCACCATTCGGTGGCGCATTTCGCGATGCCAGAACATCTTGGAGAGCACGAGGTTGGTTGGCAGGTGCGGGGGCAATCCGCGATGCCAAAATATCTTGGAGAGCGCGTGGTTGGCTCTGGTTCGTGGCAGTTGGAGCAGCGGGTGCAGGAGCACGTCGTGATGCCAAGATATCTTGAAGAGCACGAGGTTGATTCTGGTTTGCCGCAGGTTGATTGGCCTGTGCAGATGCATTTCGAGAGGCCAATATTTCCTGAAGACCACGAGGTTGGTTTGCCGCAGGTTGAGTGGCCTGTGCATTTCGAGAGGCCAGGATATCTTGGAGAGCACGCGGTTGGCTGGCTGCTGGGGCAGCAGCGTTTCGAGACGCCAGAATGTCTTGCAGTCCACGAGGTTGATTCGATGCAGGTTGAACGGCATTGCGTGATGCCAGGATGTCCTGGAGTCCCCGAGGTTGGCTGGCTGCCTGTGGCGCAGCGGGAGCAGCAGCGTTTCGAGACGCCAGAATGTCTTGGAGTCCACGAGGTTGGTTTACTGCTTCAGGCGGAGCAGCAGCATTGCGAGACGCTAGAAGATCTTGGAGTCCCCGAGGCTGGTTCGCCTTTGGTTGACCGGATGCCAACAGGTCTTGGAGTGTTTGGTTGGCAGGAGCGGCGGCAGATGTTCTCGAGGCCAAGATGTCTTGAATCCCACGAGGTGCGTTGTTGCCTCGTGCCGCCATGGACTCTTGTATTACGCTCTGTGTCCTGTTGGTGTTTTCTCGTGTCGCCGCAGCGTTGTTGTTGTTGTTGGCATTGTTGTTGTTCATGCCCGGAATACCGGCCAACAGGATACGGTCCAGTTCTGCTCGATTCGTAACCGCGGCTGGAGGAGGCCGTGCCGGTTCCTCTCGTGCAGTTTGGCCACCGGGTATTCCCGCCAACAAGAGCCGTTCCAATTCGGCTCGATTGTTTGTGTTGGTGGTGGCCTGTTCTTGTTGTTGTGACGGGGCTTGTCGTGCAGCCAGCAACATGCGTTCCAAATCGGAGCGGTTGTTGGTGGCGGAGGGTGCCCGGGGCAACGTCGGGGCGGCATTGGACGTGAGTTGGCGCACCAATTCTTGACGTCGCAGGAGCAAGGCGGCAGCATCCAACGAGGGACCTGCAGCAGGAGGTGGAGGAGGATTGGCCGCTGCCAATCGGTTGGTGAGGGCCGCATTGTTGGCCAGACCTGCGAGTCCGGCAAGTCCTTGTTGTGTGGCATTGGTTCCTCGGCGGGTACTAGCCAGCCTGGACGCCGCCAAGATGGCATTCAAGTTAGTATTGTGCGTTGCGGATGGTCCTTGGTTCTGCGCCGCATTCAAGAGGGCATTCAAGCTACGATTCTGGGTCAAGTTAGGACCACCGTTTTGCGGGGTCTGATTTGCCGCCTGCAAGATGGAATTCATGTAAGTAGGAGCAGTGCGGGGAGTTGCCTGTCCCTTGTGTGCAGTTGCAACTGGACTCACGTTCAAGATAGAATTCAAGCTACTATTATGAGTGATCTGGGTGGTGGCTGCGGAACTAGCCGCTGGGAGAGCTGGGTGAATACAAGAATTCAGCAAAAAATCAGGATGGTTAGCCAGCGTTTTCAGAGTAATCAAGGGCAGAGTTGGCCTCTTCCGCGCAATCTTACCTGGATAAGAAGCAGCAGCAGCGCGTGGAGTTGTCGGCTCCGCGGCTGCAAGTGCCTTTGGCTGCTGCGGTGGACTCATCATCATCATGTCCTCCGCAGCAGCTTCTGCCTTGGCGGCCTTGGGTTTTTGCGCCACAGGAGACTGTTTCGGTGTCGCCGCTTGTTGCTTGAAGAACTTGGTCTTGCGTAACGCGGCTTTGCCCTCCGGAGCTGGCGGTTTGGAGACTTGTAATTCTTTTGGCGCCGACTTGGAACGACTAATGCTCGGTCGCTTACTATTGCCACTACTAGTAGTACTACTAGTTGCATTCCCCTCCGCGGGCTTTCGAGATCGACTGAGCGACCTCTGTCGGCTGGCCTTCTTGTTGCCTTGGGCTTCGCGGCTCTTTTTGAAGGCCACTCGCAACCCGTCGAGTTGGTTGAGTCGCCCCATGGCTTCTTCGTCCGAAATCGACTGTGTGTTACGCCAGTACTGTTGACGACCATTGTAGTCCGTCCCTTCGTACTTCTTGGAGATGCGCTTGGGATGACACCCAATAGCATCCGCCAAGTAGTTGCGCAGCGTCGCTCCTTCGGGCACATCGGGCAAGTTGCCCGCACGAAACTCTCGAATCAAGGCGTCGGTGTAGGCTTCTTCATCCTTCGTCCAGCGGCCCGAGAAGAGCTTGGCATCGGGTGCTGGCTCTTCGCTCATGGTTGGTAGATACTAATGGCTAGCTAGCTAGCTAGAGGTAAGAATTGCTGTTGTTACTGGTCCTATTGCTATTTGTCCTGGAGGTCGAGATTGGTTGTGGACCTAGTTCGGCTGGGTTGATCGTCGAATGGCCAAAGTCAGATGGTGGTGGTTGGTGGTTGAGATGAGTTAGTTTTGCGCTGGCTGGGTTCCGGCAAGGGTGAACAGCAAGATAATGCGTATTCTTGTTGGTTTCCACTGACTGGGAGAAGCTGCGTGTGAGCCATTCAATGGCTTCTGCTACTAGCTATTTAATAGCTAGCTGTGCAGTTTGATTGCCAAAACCCAGTCTCAGTTTATCTAACTCTGTTGTATAGGAAGTTTAGTAAAAGTGGTTCGGGTTTGTACATCTCTTCGGGCCTTGAGGCCAAACAGGGCCATGCTACAAAAGTGATCCCTAAGTCGTTTTCCAGTTCTTTCCCAATCGACACAACTATTTAAACTTCTTTTATTAATAAGAGGTTTCACTGGGTTTTTCCAGGGTAAACTAGGTGCAATTTCAAGCGACTCACAGAAACTCTCAATAATTCATTTAAAAAAATCTTCTGCAAGTGAACTTGGAAATCTCATGCTTTTTGCAAGCGACTCACTCGGAAGGAAACTGTCCCATCCACCATTTTTCGAAGAAAAGCACTACTAGTACTGTACTGTACGGCTACTGTACATTACGAGCTCACTAGGGCTCAAATTACTCATGTCCCCTAACTCAGTCCAGTCGGAGATACACTCCAAACTCACATATAAGAAATCTCCAAATTCAGTGCAGCCCTGGGCCTTTCTTACCGTGCAGCACCATTTTTGACCCTCAGTTCCTTTCTAACAAAACAAGCCAATTTCAGCATTGAAGACTTTCTTACTATGCTTCTGGGTCAAGCAGGTCAGTACTTGGATACACCCAATGAACCTGGGCCTTTTGGTTCAACTTGCTCAGGACTCATAAATTGGGTTGGATCAAATAGAGATGGTGATCACTGTGTCTGCCGTGAGGCAGAAAATTTTGCAGATGTAAGCACAAGTTTGAAGCATTTTCATGGTGTCAGACTAGTAGTATTTCTTACGCTTTGAGGTCTCAATACTGGGAAGCTTTCTTACAAGTCTGTGATATTTCAGCATCAAGATTTTCTTAACATTTTCTAAAATCTCAGGGCTCGCTTTCTTATAGTGGAGTTTCTTATATTCAAGTCTGGAGTGTATCGCAAGTGGCTCAGTTGATGAAAAAGCTTGAGTATTCGCAGAGGTTCTTCTATACGCAAGTCTCCCAAACACTGCTCAGAAAAAGAACGCGTACAGTCAGGGAACTAATCAATCACCTGGACGACAAAAACTCGACGTTCTGTGCCAACTGGAGACATGCATGCATGTACCGGTACCATGGAGCATGGAGGATGGAGAGGATGGCCTGCCGGTCTGTTGGTCAAAACTCAGGTCCATTATCCTCGAGTATGTAGCTACCAGTAGCTACAGTAGAGTACAAATTGAATGTAGTAATTTTTTTTTGTTATCATCTCAGTAGAAGTTTTAAAGTTGGTCCCAGTGCAGCTTTCCAGTTGAGAACCCTGAACTGTGATTGATTTTTTCTGAAAGCTGCTTTTGATGTCACACACTGCTCTTTTGAATGGTACGTAATTCGTGCGCACCGAGCGGGGTACAGTTGAACAGTTAGTTAGTTGTACGTTGTACTCCGGTTTCGATCTCTGGTACTGGAGTACCGGTAGCTTGTATGATATGTCACAGCTGGACTCGACTCCAGAGTAGTACTGTACCGGTAGTGCAGAGTACATGTTGGTAGATTTAATAAAGATTGACAGCTACCGTAGTCTACTAGCTAGCTGTCGGTAGCGACGATGCCACGGTAGAAGCTACGTTCCTTCCAGTTCTACGCTACGATATATGAGCATGTCTGACTCGTTTGCGATTGAAAACTGAAAAGAGCGGGAAGGCCCCGTCATGCGACCCCTAGTCGCCAAAAAATCGGCATAAAGTCGCACACAGCATCAAAGTCGCATCAAAAGTCGTATGTAAAGTCGCATGCAAGTCGCATGAAAGTCGCGTGCGACTTTCTCGCACGACTTTTAAAGTCGCGCAAGATTACTCTAAGCAAGTCGACAGAGTCGCGTAGGATCGCGTAAAGTCGTTTAAAAAGTCGTACGAAAGTCGCGTGCGACTCGCACACGACTCGCACGCGACTTTGTGAACGACTTTCAGCGATCCGACGCGACTTTGACGGATCCGGGACTATCAGTCGCATGACCGGGCCTTCCGGACGCTGCTGTCAAGACAGCACAACTGTCAGCTGCCGGGGTGCGAGGAGCAGGGATTGAATACCGGCTGCTGGAGACGGTGGAGACTGACCGTGGGAAGCCATTTGCCGCCTTTCCAGCTCTAATCCCCAATTGTCCTTCACCAGTTTGCAAGGGATACTAGTACCTGGAGACGTCATTGGGTTGCCTTTTATCGGCGAAGGAATGAAGGAATTGAAGGCCTGCAATTGCTTCCGTGTCCATCCGCACCTCCAGGTCAATCGCATCTTTTTGCAGGCCTGTCTGCCAATCCTGCCTCTTGTCAGTGCGCTGTCAAAGCTTTTACAGCTGCGGCTAGCCTGCCTCTGTAGCTCGAGCGAGCTTCATTCCGTACCGTAGCGATCATGTCGGCCAACCTAGTTCCCGATCAAGTCGCAGCGATGGTCAAACGCACGAAGCAAAGAGAAGGAAGCTTTTGGAGTGTGGTTTACATGGTGATTATGCATGATATAGTAGGTAAGCAACCGAACCCTGCAGGCCTTGTTAAGTTCTTCCGGCTTGCATATCTATCAGTTACTGTAGTTGCTTCTATCAGCGGTCGCGATTGCTTGCTTTTGCATCTCTTGCTTGCTCGTTAGCATTGGTAGCACTCGGCAAAATAGTCAAAGTTTTCAATCTGTCGAAGGAAGTTTTTGATACTTGTGTATCCTCCAGCTCCCACTCCACCCGCAACGACAAAGCCTGCCACGACCCAGTTGATTCGACGCATCCATTGCATGGAGAGGAATGGTTTCTTGACCATACCGCTGGTATCGTCCGAGGAAAAGGCGAGATTGTAACCCACGCAGGGAATAATGTAGGTTCCAAAGGATGTCGTAAATGCTCCCAAGACGGCATTAATGGCCCCAAAGAAGGGAAACGCCACGGCCAAAAAGAGCATAAAGGCACAGAGTGGCAATCGGGCCAGTGCACGTACTTTGAATGGCTTGTCGTGGATGCGAATGAGCTTTTCCCACATGTGGAACAAGGGACCGGCAAAGAGTCCAAAGGCGACCGCCTGATGCAGAGACATCATGACAATCCCCAAATCGCGAGCAAATGAACGGGGGAACAGATTGAACGAGTTGGCATTGTAGGATGCCTCTTGTCCGTATGTGTGATACGCGGTTACGGCGTTGGGCATGGTCAACGAAAAGACGTAGAGATAGGACCAAAAGTAGGACTTGTCGTAGTTTCCAGGGCTGTCCATGACATCTGCCACTTCAATGTTGGATGTGTGGCCGCCGTAGACGAACAAAAGCTGCACAAAGCCAGTGAAGAAGCCTTCGACGCTCTCGGGGGCATTGTAAACTACATCCTCTTTAGGTCCTTCCATGGCCGCTTGGATTGTCATGTAATTGGCAACATAGGTTGTCGTGAGAATTCCCAATACGGAAAGCATCCGGTAGTGTCGAAAGGTCGGAACAAATGCAATGAGGGAAAAGAGACTTCCCCAAATGAGAGCCCAGGTTCGTTTGGACACGGCGTCGCTCAAAATGTAAAAGTTGGAAGCCGTGGCAATAATCTGTACAGTGGAGAGTCCCAGCAGGGCAAAGAAGACCACAGTCACTGAGAATTTCTTCAACCAGGGACCGACCAATGATTCTAGAATCTCGTGGTACGAGGCAATGTAGTGTTTGTCGTGATGCCTCTTGTCATTGGTAACTTGGAGTTTGTGTCGATACTGAGCGTGCATGGATACCAGCAAAAAGTTGGTGTAGAGAGCCATGGTAGCAAAGACAAGCTCCAGAATGATACCCCATGCAAAACCCACTTTGGAAAAGACATTGGGAAGTGTCAGGATCGATTGACCGACTTCTTGAGAGGCAGCCAGCAAGAACCCGTCAAAGACAGTGCCACCCATCGAAAGACTCTTCCAAAGCGAAGAAACACCACCACTGTCTCCTCCTCCTTTACCGTTGCTAGAAACGGAGTATCCGTCCACGGTTCCTTCCTCCACAGAACGGGTCGTTGGATCCGGCGCGTTCACGTCGTCGTGGCTCATGGCCTTGCTAGAGTCGTATTCGCTCATCATGCCTTTGCTGTTGGGCTTTTCTTTTACTAAAAAATATGGAGAGATCATGATGGCAATCAGTTGGAAGTCCCTTGGGACTTGCGCGTTGTTGATATCGAATGAACTAGCTAGAAAATCAGATAGATGGCAATCAATAGGTGTGATACCACTGGATAGTATGCTCACAAGGCGTCACTACTGTGCAATCTAACTCGCACTGGTCGCTGTTGGTATTGTGCCTTTCAGCCACAGATACGATGTAAACAGCAATTTGTTGAGCTGATCCGGATAATACTGTATGATAGTTTTGCCTTGTGTGGATACCATACAAGGCTATGCTCGGTTTCAGTTTTCGAGGGCAGCATTCAAGTAAACCCCAAACAGTGAGTGTTTGTCGGAAAAAGTGGCCAGAAACGCTTTGAATGGAAACAAATTTCGAAGCAAGAAGGTGCGCGTCTTGCCCTCAACGGATGTTTAAGGTCTTGGAGATAAACGCGTTTACAGGATTTAATAATAGACATTCAGGTAAACGTGTACGTTTAAACATCTTACGAATACTCATCTTTGCGGCAACACACCGGTACAGTAACGGTACCGCACAGTTGCTATGGCGCGAGTAAGAATGCTGCTCAATGCAAGACAAAAGCTGTGAAATTAGGATTGGTTTCAATAAAAATCAGCCAAGACCAAAGAAGCTCTCAGCGAGCTCAAACACTTACTCTTGCCGGCTATGCATAACTAGACCTTACTAGTCATCATCAGCCATGATCAAATCATAGGCAGCTTCCAGGCTTTGTCGACGAACCCAACAGCCACAATTGCATCCAGAGGAAAGAGTCCTTTGCTTCCATACCAGGTGTGTATGACAGTGTTGTCCTCCTTCGCCTGACCTATACCGGTGAAAGGAGTACAATACTCCTCCGTTCTGTCACAGATACTCCGTTAGTATTTTCCTGCAGGGGACACAAGGTGGGTACTAGCTAGTCTTGGATTTGTCTGGTGGCAGCGGGTGGATGCTGTTTTGGATTGATTGCCAAAGCGGCGCCTAGATACGGAGAAGCTGGTGGTACATCGTACAGCATCTGCCATCTTTTGTTTGCTTGACTGGTTCGTGTAGCTACTGCGACTGCAGACCAAGTACTCCATCTCAAAGATCCATATGCTTAAACTTTTCGGTTGTTGACTTTTTCATCCCCCATGCCAGCATGGGAATCATCAGTCCTTGGGCTACTGTGGTGCCGGTGCTTGTGAAATGTGGGATTGTGTCAGCAGGCCACTACAATAAACTATGATACCGTCACTCTCAATTCAAAATGGATCCTAATCGTTACTACTACTGTATCATAGAACAATGGTATCATCATAGAATGGCACGGAGACGAAGATTCGCTTTCGTCCAAGTGGAACAAAGCAACATCTCCTCGTCGTGTTCTCTCTAATCATCTCGTGGTTCGAAGGTAGGAGCCGTCGAAAACCCGTCAACATCAGTACGGTAGCTCCTGTTTGCCCTGCCTTGCTTCTCTCGTCGCTTCCAGGCTGCCTATGCTCGTGCTTTGCGTTTTCTGGTACTGATACGACGAAGCTTTCGTGGAGGGATAACCTCGTCGGCTTCATCCCAATCTTCCTCGTCGTCGTCATCTTCGTCACTATCTTCCTCCTCGTCGTCTTTGTCCCAGTCTTCCTCCTCAGAGTCTTCCGCAGCGAAACGTGCTGTTCTGGCTTTCTTCGTCGCTCGGGTAACCCTTCTTCGAGACGACGATCGTGTGCTTCTTTTCGAAGAAGGTGCCACGTCTTGGGGATCACAAGACACATATGCATAGTCGACGGCAGTTCCATCCCAAACGAATCCAAGTCTTCGTAGCTTTTGCACTCGTTCCTCGCTGACCTTGCCTTCTACGAGTCTATCTCGTTGAGATTGGACCCATCTAGCCAGCTTGGTGTTCTGTTTTGTTGACACCAGACAGTGTCCATGTTTCTCCTGGAAATCTTTCAACAAAGAATACATGGATTCCCACTTTTCTGTCAGAACATTCCACGTGAATCCAATGGCATTGAGGGCGTCCTGTCTCTCTTGCGACAAATTGCCTATTTTGTACTGGGATTTCTGCTTGAAGACCCATCTTCCAAGTTCTGGGTGACGAGATGGAACCAAAAAGTTTCCATTCTGTCTCCCGTACTCTTTGAGCTGCTCCAACTTGACATACCAAACATCAGGCTTCTTCTTGTTGACCGAGGGAGTATCCCATTGAAATCCAAGCTGATCCAATAGGCAAAACCTGTCGTCGCGTAGCCTTCCTTTGTTGTACATTTCCCGCTGCAGCACACACCACTTGCCCAGACCTTTGGAAAACGTCACACAGCAGTGACCGTGTCGTTCCTGGAATTCTCTCAATAACATGTAGTTGGCCTTCCACTTTTCTTCCAACGCATCCCACGTAAATCCAATCGCGTTGAGGGCATCTTGTCTCTCCTGCGGCATTTGCCTCCTTCGGTACCGCACTCGCTGCGAACTGACCCAAACTTTCAGCTCACGATCTTGATTATGCACATTGGTGTGTCCGTGCTTCTTCTGGAACTCCTTTAGTTTTTCCAGCTTGGCATACCAGGTTTCATGGTCTGGAACACCCACCATCTCTTCTGATGATTTATCTTGGAACAATTCAATACAACGATACAGGAAAGCAAAAGCTAAAGCAAAAGCAACAACAAGAATAATAAATGAGGCAAGTAGCCTGTGCCGTGCTGATTTGTGTGACCCTTGGAGCTACTGGTACATGCGCGGTGTGGGTGCTGGTGGGGATGGCACAAGTCCTATTAGTATTATCAGTTCTGTTGATTACTCGGGAAGCAATCTGTGTTGTTTGTTGATGTTGCGTGATGACAAACGCACTCGCGATCGCCACTTCCAAGAATTTGTGAGATTGCTTCACTTGTACTGTACATGTAACTTGTAAATTACGACATGGTCACCAGGACTACAGTTAGCTTAATGCTTTGTGTACCGTGGTGGACTCAGAGTCACTGATACTGGGGAAATGAGATGTCTGGTTACCAACAGAATTAAGAGGCTTTCCAAAAAGATACCGGTACCGTACAGCTGAACTATTACCGTACTAATAAATGCATAATAAAAAAACGGGATCAGTAAATTTTACTAGCTTGGATGTACCAGGTACCAGCTACAGTATGCATAGCTATGGCCATAGTTGTCTCAAGTCCCAAGCTTGGGTCCGCCACAAGGTTCTTCCTTCTGCTTCCTACTGGCTACTAGACTAGTTGCTTGATGGTCGCGTCTTTGAGGTCTACAGTACGATGTACAACATGTAGCCAGGTTACCCTTCATTCCTCCTCGTCTTTCGCTTCTGGATTTCCCTCCCCCTTGTACCGGTGGATCTAACATGCACTATGTCTGCAGTACGTACGGCACCTACATGAAGCGAGTCTTCTTGTCTTCTTCCTAATCACCTGAATCTTCCTCGCTCCCCATCTGACTTGCTTCTTGCTTCTGGTAACTCTTCTGGTTTTCCAGATCGCTCACCAGATGGAATCGAATCCAATCGAAGCAAGCAGCCAATCAAGTGAAAAACAGAAGCAACAAGTCAAATAAGAATCCATTCTTCCTCGCTCCCATCTGACTTCTGGTTTTGATTCGCTCCAGATCACCCTTCTACTGCCTAGGCTGGATCCTATGCTGTGCAGCACCACTGGCTCATATATTCAGAACCATGTAGCAGCTCGATTCTCGATTCATCGAGGTGGTTTTGCTTGTCGCGTGGCTAAAGAGAAGAAAAAGTACAGGTACATGTACAACTAAAGGTACTGAGTCCGTGCCTTGCAATGAACCCAAAAGAAGCGCCGAGCTCTTCCAACTGAGAGCTTTTGAATGAAAGCGGGAGCACCCCCCAACGTGAATGTGGGTGGATGTGTCAAAAACCGATCGATAGTATCGATGAAGTGTTCGTAATTTATTCGACTAGACTACTCATTCGAATAGAAGTGAATGGAATGGGTTGGGTGACGGTCGAGACGTGCATCCTTTACCACCATCCATTGCTTCCCTGAAACGCGGGTTTCATTTTTTTGGGGGAAGTCACTTTGCCTCCAACAAAGCTAGCTAGAAAGCTCCTCCAAAGAACAGTAGCCAACGACCACAACTCTCTCGTTCATCAATCGAGTAGTTTATCAATCAATCAAGAAAGCAAGAAGATAGATAGATGTCCCGCCAAATCAACCAACCGATCAATCAAGTCCGGCTTACGAATGTGGCAGTGGTTCGTATGAACAAGGGCGGGAAACGCTTCGAGATTGCCTGCTACCGCAACAAGGTGATGGATTACCGTCAAGGTTTGGAGACGGATTTGAGTGAAGTCTTGCAGACGGATCGTATTTTTGCCAATGTCAGTAAAGGCGAATTTGCCAAACATGCCGATTTGCAAAAAGTATTTGGCACAAAAAATGAAGAATCCATCGCCCAGACCATTTTGACCAAAGGGGCGCTGCAAGTGAGCGATTTGGAACGTCAAGCGCAATTGGAAAATACACTGGCACAAATTGCTACGTGGGTCGCCAGTCATTGTGTCCATCCTACATCGCAACGACCGTATACTATTTCGCAAGTCAAGTACGCACTGGGCAAACAGTACCAAGTCCAACCGCACAAACCCATCAAAAAACAATATTTGGATTGTGTCAAATTTTTAAAAACCAAAATTCCGATTGAACGAGCCAAAATGGAATTGGCTCTTTCTTATTCCACAACTACTCCAGAAGCACAAGAACAACTGGAGAAACTCATTGCGGACCATGAATCACTCAGTCTTACACAACAAACAAGCAACAGCGACAACGAATTGACCCGATGTGTCTTGTTGGCCGATCCCAGTTTGTACCGTCTCCTGGATGATTTGGCCAAGACGTTGCCTGAGGGCAAGTTAGAAATTCTACGACAAGTTGTGACACTCGAAGGCGATGTCGATCTAGAAATGGAAATTGAACGCAAAAATCAATTGCAGCAGCAGCAACAGCAACAACAACAATCATCCAATAAGAAAGAAGAGGATAGCAGTGAGGAAGATACTGCTGCTGCCATTTTAACCCAGCAAATGGCTCGAAAGGCAACTATTCAAGATGACGACGACGACAGCAATGACAGCCAAGAAGAAACAGCCCCTCCAAACGATGATGATGGTGACGACGACGACGAGATCATGGTGGTTCCCGTCAATTCTCGCAAACAAAAGAAGAAACAGAACAAAAAAGCCAAACGAAGACAACAGCAGCAACAGCAATCATCCAACGCACAAGACGATGACAGCAGTGAAGAAGAGGATGCTGATGCACAAGTGGCTCCAAAGGCAACGATCGAAAACGACAGCGACGACGACGAGAGCCAAGAAGAAGCACCGCCTCCAAACGATGACGACGAGAACTTGGTCATTGCCGCCAATCGTAAACAACAACAACAACAACAATCCAAACAAAACAAGAAGCTAAGCAAAAAGGCCAAACGACGACTACGAGAAGAACAAGCCGAACGAGACGCACAAAAACAAGCCGAACAGCAACGACAAGCGGAACGCAACAAGCTTCAGCCGATTGTCCAGGCCAATGCCGCAGTCGCAGCGGAATCAGCAACTACAGGCGCCGTCAAATCCTGCAACACGTGTGGCGGCAGTTTTCCCAATGCGGCCGCTTATCGTGCCCATTTCAAGAGCGATTGGCATCGATTCAATCAAAAACTGAAAATGGCGGGACGGCCACCCGTTAGTGAACGAGAATTCACACTCTGTGATGCCGAATCCTTCTTTGGGGCGTCCTAACTAATGTGCAAGGCAATGCTCACTACATGTGTCGTAGCGTGCTCGAGTAAGTGAGTAATGCGGAGACTCTTGGCACCACCTCCATGGCGACCTACCTACCACAGTCAAAGGAAGCAAGGATACAGAAGATTGATTTATGAGGTTTTTAAAATAAAATATCTATAATTGCTTGCATCTATCTATCTATCTATCTATCTATCTAGCACTACACACGCACTGCCCTTGTCGTTGTGTGAGCTGCTATGAATTTGCCCCCCCCGCCCCCTTGTGCGTCTTGCGCAGCTGTCTCATGCGTGGTGCACGGTAGGACTCTCATCGTTCTCGGCCTCCCTGGAATCGTCCTTCAAGCCGCTTTTGGTCATCGAAGAAGAAGACTTGAGTTCTTGTGGTGCCTTTGGCACTGCCTCTTCTTCTTCTTCTTCTTCTTCTTCTTTCCCTTCTTCGTACAGCTGTTCCAGTTCCTGTTGCATTTCACGGATACTACCGGAGAGTCCACCGCTCGAGTTCGCAAAAGCTCGGGAATGTAGAGCGCTGGACCGAGCACTGGCTTTGAAAAGGCTACTCGCGGCCGTAATGCCTTCTGGGAGACCCTGGCGTTGATACCCAATCTTGGGCAGAAACACCATGAGCAGCACTCCAACATCGGTCAATCCAATAATGCACACCAAGGCAATGTGGCGGGCCTCGGAAGAATCACCCACGGCAATCAAAATGGGAATTCCTAGCAACAGAAACTCACAGGCAAATAGAGATGCCAAGGTGATGAATTTGGATTCTTGGTACCGGTCGCTCACTGTGCGGAGTTGCCAGAGGAGTACATTGGTGGCAATCATAATGGTCAAATGAAAGCCCAGCAAGGACCCAAGCCAAGCCGTCATGAACTCCGATGAACATTTGCCCACTGACACCTCCGTCAATATTCCAGCTTCTTCATCGACGATGGTCCCTTGATCTTCTCGCATCCAGGTCAGCGGATCCACTATGGTCCAGGCAGTCACCAATGCCCAGTTGATGACCAGGCACACAAGAACAATGTGGGCCACATCCAAGGCTGTCACAGCTGTACGGCGCATGTTATTGGAGTTTTGTACCATTTGAAACATTCGGTACGACTTGGCAAACATACTGGAATACTGGATGATCCATCCAGTGCTGTAGAGCCAGGGAATGGCGACACAAGCCACAGAGGCAGCCATGGTATCATCTTCTGTCCGTGCTTGGATGGACAGTGGAATGATGGAGGAGGTGGAAATGATGGAACCTAGACAGAGCAAGAGAAGAAACTCCATTTGGCTAATCTGGACCACAACATCATAGCGATGAACAATGGTCCAAACTCCAAAGCCAAGAGAACAAGAAAAGGATAGAGCCATGATGAAGTATCCAAAGATCAAGAGGCCCCTGGGAATAAGGTTGTCCTCCACTTGATGGCAGATTTTCGCTCCAGTGTCTCCATCCGTCCCTGATCCATCTTTACAGGGCTGGCAGAAATGGGATGGCATGTCCAAGGATCGATAGGTATCCACAGGGCATGCACTGCACTTGTCTTCCAGCAATGCACTATCTGTTGCAATGGCAGACATGTTGACAAACTGGCCCGCTGGACAATCGAGTGCTGTAGGAGCTGGCACTACAACTGTTGCTTCGGCTTGGTCAATTGGCGAGACAAGGAGCTTCTCCAATTTGCTCTCATTGGCGGATGAATCAAGACGAAAACCCCACTGCATACCAGCTGAGCCTCTACCAATGTTTCGCTGGTTTTCGTCAAAGCTGGTTGGCCCAAAGAGTGACTTGGGCACACTCAGTCCCAAAAGGTGGCGCCGGTCTTCCTCATACTGGTTTGCATACACATCGTGAACGTTTGGGTTGTCTTTGGTTTTGACGAAGCTTGCTGTGTTCTTGTACGCGAGGTAGACAGCATGGTATGTACCCAGTGCATCATAGTCTGGCTTGTAGCCATGGCTGTCTTCTATGTAGTCCAGCATGGCCTGTCCATTGGAGAAGTACTCATCTGAATAAGCCATTGCCTTGTGCCATTGTGCACCTGCTTGCATGTAGGCTACATTCTCAGGGTACCGGGTTGCATAAGCCTTGGCAGCAGCATGCAGCCACAGAGATGATGGTTGGCATCCGTTGGATCTCCAGCGGTCCAAAATAGTATTGGTTTCCAAGTCTGTCATGACACATGCCCAAATGGCAACTGGTGGGTCGTCACTGCGGCTGGTTTGGTTTGGGGGACACGCTTGGTCGGCAAGGCTTTGTAGGTAAGGTACATCATGCTGGTTGTCCACCCCATCATTGTCCTCATCTCCTTGGGGATTGTAGGAGATAGCTACAGTATCTGTGAATCCGTCCTGTAGAGCATGTTTGTAGATCTCCTGGCATGTAGAGTTGAAAAACTGAGACCTGTCACGGTGTAGAATCCGGATCTTTTGCTTGCTCTTGTCCTTGGTACTGAACTTCACTGCCTGAAAGGCAGGTATGCCATAAGTTTCACTTCGAATGTGAACACCAAACACATAGTCATTGGAATCTTGAGTGTAGAAAATGTCTGGCCCTACCTGGCTCAATAGGATAGTTTGGTACTTGCCAGCAATCCTCTTGTCATGTTTGGCGACATAAGAGCAGGAACCCATGATGTATTGAGGCTGGAGTGACATCACCGTAGCCTCTAGGAGGCCCTCGTGGTTTCTAGCATAGACATCAGGAGGCAATTGCTGGGAGTTGCCAGAGATTACAACTACATATCGGAACTGAAGGTAGTGGTTGCCATTGTATCCAATCTTGGCCCCCTTGCCATTGTTGTCCCCGTTGAGTGTCTCCACCCCGGCAAGAGCACCATCAGGATGTTCGTCACACCCAGAGGGATTGACACCCACAATGGTAATGACATTGCTCCGACTTTCATGTACTTCCGGAGAGACATCGTACAGGATGCAAGGATCGATTATGGCTGAATCATCCACTCCTACTAGCTCCTTTGAGGTCATGTTGCACCTGGGAAGGTTCTCATATTGGAAGGCATTCTCTTCTTCAGGATCAGCAGTCGTAGAAAAGTCGAAAACTGTAATGTTGAGGGCTTGGGATTGACCGATGCAGGCGCATATTATCCCTACAGTCTGGAGAACCAAGCCAAAGCAGTAAGCCGACATCATGGTCTTTAACAGTGAACTTGTAGTCAATTGGAGCAATTGTTGTTGGCCGTCTTGAGGGTCTTCGTGCTTCGATCGTTGCTGTACGACTGTATGCCAGCAGGAATTAGTGCCAGTCGAGTCGTCGGAGGTGTGATTGAAGACTTAAAACACCTATCAGAGCGGTACTTAATAAAAAGGGGTCTTTGCGGGCCACTTCTAATAGGCTTTCTACGTGTGACATCATCAGAAGGTACAGATTAGAACACAGACGGTTTCGCCCTGCGCAAACGGACAGATAACGTTCAACTGAAGGCTCGCTGCTCCGGTTTGGATAACCTAAACCTTAATTATGAATTCAAAAAGAGACTTCACGTGACAGAGCTCGTGACAGGCTGGTCTCATTTTATTCCTCCTCCACCAAAATGGCGTCTACCGGTATCCTCAGCCTCAGTTGATCGATCTCGCTCCTCCTGCTACTGCTATTACGGGTGAGTCTATTATCAACTGTGTTATTATTGAAGGCGCACACTGACATCTCTCCCTCATTGAATTTCTATGGTAAACAGGAGAGAAATCCAAGCTTGACCCACAATAGTGAGGTACCGGTTGGAGGAGTTCTTTATTCAAGCCGATCCATCGATCTCACAATGAGGTAAGCCTATTATCAAGAGTGTTAATGAAGGTACAGCACTGACTTCTCTCCCTCGTTGGATTTCTATGGTATTCAGGAGAGAATTCCAAGCTCGGCCGTCAACAGGTGAGTTGTCTTAATTATTCGAGTCATCGTGCACCTCTTATCCTTATCCAAGCTCACTCAAGCCGTCCTTCTCGGTGCAGATTCGAAAGCCATCCCTCATTGAATCCTATGGACTGGGAGGCAGTCATTCTCGGCCCATGACGGCCAAGTTGGTGCAATTTGAAAAGCAAGAGTAAGTCTCCGGTCGTCTGCAGTTGAGCACAGAAAACAAAACTCATGTCTATTTCTTGTTTTCTCTGCTGCACTGCTGATTACCCATGAATTACCATTGTCGAGGACTCCTTTTCGAACGAACGATCGAGGCTACCGCTACGGAGGCTCTGTTAACTCAAGCCCTATCAACAGTCTGAACAGAGGAGATCCTCGTCGAGTCATTGGATGGCAACAAGAGGAGGCTACGTGACAACACACAAGAGAGTGGATCCTGCTACTGGGTTCATCCCTCCAGTGCTATTTCCTAGTGTTTTGGTGGTGATTCCTGTGTTGGTACCCATTTTCCTGTATGCACAAGTCCGCGAGCGACTTTTCGTACAATAAGATATGTAACTAGTAAGATCTTAGAACCCCGATTACCAACCAATAGACCATTCCTTCCATTATATAGACACCTTATTGATCAGTAGCAGAGTTAGCTCTAGCTAGGATCTGTAACCTCGCCTTCCAGTCTTCCAGTACCCGTGGTCTCTGGTACATGTACCTTTGTTCATGAACGAAAACTCTGAAAAAGGTATTGGTCACGCCAACCAAAACCTCCAGGTTGGTTTTGGTCCGAGGGACCAAACCTCGCCAGTTGAGCAGGGCGAGACCGTCTGTGACATAATCCTTGTCACATTTTCCCTCACATCGCCGTTTTATTTGACCTCTAGCTAGACTGCACGTACAGTAGCCAATCCAAGCGCCTATTTCCAATTTCCAAGGCGCGACGCAAGGACAAGTTCTAGGTTTGGGAAAAGTGCCATGTCTCGGCACGTACCACCTACCATACCGGTAGCAAACTCGTACGGTACCGTCTGGGGTTCATCAGATTCGATTCATCGCGATCCCGGAGGTCTGTAGGCTCCACCCACCCACCGGTTGGCAGGGTTGTTTCTCCGCTTCAAGCAGTTTCACCTACGCGAATGTATCCACCTCCGGTGTTCACAGCCAGCTAGCTAGCTGGAACCGGTTTTTCCCTCTCTGATGCCGAATCCTTCTTTGGGGCGGCCTCTAGAGTAGTAAGCTAAGATAGAAAACGCAACGTAACGCAATGAAACGTCCAAGGCAATGCTTCTTGTGCTCGATAATGTAGCAGAGCCAGGCAGGACGACATCTGCTTGGGTTCCTTCGTTTCTGTCGAATAGGACGAATGCTTCATCAGTACGAGCTCAATCCCTTCCACGACGAGGGACATAGAGACTGACTCAATCGAATGACACTCGTGGCACCTACATGTACATGGCCAATACTGCTACCTACCGTACTGCAGTCAGAAAAAACACGGATACAGAAGATCGATGAACTTTTAAATGTCTATATAGAGAACATCTATCTATCTAGGTACCAGTCGGAAGTGTTGATATTATACACTGCCCCTCTTGTGCGAGACTTGAATCTGGTCCCCCGCCCCTTAGCACATGTTCGTCTCATGCTTGCAGGGTAGGACTCTCATCGTTCTCGGAGGACGCGCTGGAATCGTCCATTACGTAAAACTCGGAAGACTTGCATGCCGTAGTCTCGGTTCTCGAAGCAGGCATATTGCGTTCTTTGGGTGTTCTTGGTACCGCGCCTTTTAATTCTTGTTCTTCTTCTTCGCACAGCTGCTCCAGTTCCTTTTGCATTTCCCGGATACCAGAGAATGCACAGCTCGAGTTGGCAAAACTCGAGTTGGCAAAACTGGAGTGGGCAAAACTCGAGTTGGCAAAACTCGCTTGGAAATTCAGAGTGCTGGGCCGAGCGCTGGGCCGAGCACTGGCTTTGAAAAGGCTACTCGCGGCCGAAATGCCTTCTGGGAGACCCTGGCGTTGATACCCAATCTTGGGCAGAAACACCATGAGCAGCACTCCAAGATCGGTAAATCCAATAATGCACACCAAGGCAATGTGGCGGGCCTCGGAAGAATCACCCACGGCAATCAAAATGGGAATTCCTAGCAACAGAAATTCACAGGCAAATAGAGATGCCAACGTGATGAATTTGGACTCTTGGTACCGGTCACTCACGGTGCGGAGTTGCCAAAGGAGTACATTGGTGGCAATCATAATGGTCAAATGAAAGCCCAGCAAGGACCCAAGCCAAGCCGTCATGTAGTCCGATGAACATTTGCCCACTGACTCCTCCGTCAATATTCCAGCTTCTTCATCAACATTGGTCCCTTGATCTTCTCGCGTCCAAGTCAGTGGATCCACTATGGTCCAGGCAGTCACCAATGCCCAGTTGATGACCAGGCACACAAGAACAATGTGGGCCACATCCAAGGCTGTCACAGCTGTACGGCGCATGTTATTGGAGTTTTGTACCATTTGAAACATTCGGTACGACTTGGCAAACATACTGGAATACTGGATGATCCATCCAGTGCTGTAGAGCCAGGGAATGGCGACACAAGCCACAGAGGCAGCCATAGTATCATCTTCTGTCCGTGCTTGGATGGAGAGTGGAATGATGGAGGAGGTGGAAATGATCGAACCTAGACAGAGCAAGAGAAGAAACTCCATTTGGCTAATCTGGACCACAGCATCATTTCGATGAACAATGGTCCAAACTCCAAAGCCAAGAGAACAAGAAAAGGATAGAGCCATGATGAAGTATCCAAAGATCAAGAGGCCCCTGGGAATAAGGTTGTCCTCCACTTGATGGCAGATTTTCGCTCCAGTGTCTCCATCCGTCCCTGATCCATCTTTACAGGGCTGGCAGAAATGGGATGGCATGTCCAAGGATCGGTAGGTATCCACAGGGCATGCACTGCATTTGTCTTCCAGCAATGCACTATCAGTGGCAGACATGTTGACAAACTGGCCTGCTGGACAGTCAAGTGCTGTAGGAGCTGGCACTACAACTGTTGCTTCGGCTTGGTCAATTGGCGAGACAAGGAGCTTCTCCAATTTGCTCTCATTGGCGGATGAATCAAGACGAAAACCCCACTGCATACCAGCTGAGCCTCGACCAATGTTTCGCCGGTTTTCATCAAAGCTGGTTGGCCCAAAGAGTGACTTGGGCACGCTCAGTCCCAAAAGGTGGCGCCGGACTTCCTCATACTGGTTTGCATACACATCGTGAACGTTTGGGTTGTCTTTGGTTTTGACGAAGCTTGCTGTGTTCTTGTACGCGAGGTAGACAGCATGGTATGTACCCAGTGCATCATAGTCTGGCTTGTAGCCATGGCTGTCTTCTATGTAGTCCAGCATGGCCTGTCCATTGGAGAAGTACTCATCTGAATAAGCCATTGCCTTGTGCCATTGTGCACCTGCTTGCATGTAGGCTACATTCTCAGGGTACCGGGTTGCATAAGCCTTGGCAGCAGCATGCAGCCACAGAGATGATGGTTGGCATCCGTTGGATCTCCAGCGGTCCAAAATAGTATTGGTTTCCAAGTCTGTCATGACACATGCCCAAATGGCAACTGGTGGGTCGTCACTGCGGCTGGTTTGGTTTGGGGGACACGCTTGGTCGGCAAGGCTTTGTAGGTAAGGTACATCATGCTGGTTGTCCACCCCATCATTGTCCTCATCTCCTTGGGGATTGTAGGAGATAGCTACAGTATCTGTGAATCCGTCCTGTAGAGCATGTTTGTAGATCTCCTGGCATGTAGAGTTGAAAAACTGAGACCTGTCACGGTGTAGAATCCGGATCTTTTGCTTGCTCTTGTCCTTGGTACTGAACTTCACTGCCTGAAAGGCAGGTATGCCATAAGTTTCACTTCGAATGTGAACACCAAACACATAGTCATTGGAATCTTGAGTGTAGAAAATGTCTGGCCCTACCTGGCTCAATAGTATAGTTTGGTACTTGCCAGCAATCCTCTTGTCATGTTTGGCGACGTAAGAGCAGGAACCCATGATGTATTGAGGCTGGAGTGACATCACCGTAGCCTCTAGAAGACCCTCGTGGTTTCTAGCATAGACATCAGGAGGCAATTGCTGGGAGTTGCCAGAGATTACAACTACATATCGGAACTGAAGGTAGTGGTTGCCGTTGTATCCAATCTTGGCCCCCTTGCCATTGTTGTCCCCGTTGAGTTGCTCCACCGCGGCAAGGGCACCATCCCGGTGTTCGTCACATCCAGAGGGAAAGACACCCACAATGGTGATGATGCTGCTTCGAAAGTCATGTACTTCCGGAGAGACATCGTACAAGATGCAAGGATCGATTATGGCTGAATCATCCACTCCTACTAGCTCCTTTGTGGTCATATTGCATCTGGGAAGGGTCTCATATTGGAAGGCATTCTCTTCTTCAGGATCAGCAGGCGTGGCTTCGTCAATAATTGTAATGTTGAGGGCCTGGGATGTGCATAAAATCGCTACAGTCAAAAGAACCAATCGAAAGCAGGAAGCCGACATCATGGTCTATGACAACTTGTTGCTGGAGTTGTCTTTCGTTTTGATAGCTTTCGAAAAAATGAATCCAGTTGCAGGTTCTTGGATGCTGGATGGGCTGGTAGAATGTGTGATTTGTCGCGCTTCCGGAGGCCTGCTGAATTGACCACCAGCACTCCCGGATTGATGGTCGACAGAAGTTGTTTCTGTGTTCTGAGCTTCTGTGGCGCACACTCGGTGCGAGATGCAAGCCCTCTGCGAACTGCGAACTGCGAATCCATCCTCTCTTGCAAGAGCCTAAGTTTGTTGCTCGGTCGCTCCGGGCTCCGGGGAAAAGCTTTTTAAAAAGCCTGTTGGGACGCTTTCTCGAAAGGACTTAGTCTGCGAAGCCGCCTGTCATTTATTCACAACACGAAGACAATGTCGCATGACTTAATGCCAGAACACCGTAGAAGGTGTGACCGTGTGAACTGTTATACTGTTAGCTTGACAGAACAGCTACAGTATACCACAAGAGAGCCACGGCGTTCACATTGGTTGTGCTGCTGTACCTGGTACCTGGCACCGGTATAAATAGCCAGTCTGGCTAGTCAGTGGTCAATCAGCCTCGATCCAGGACACTGTAGAAGGTGTGATCTACACTGTACTAGCTAGTGCTGACTAGACAGTTCAGATTCTCCGGGTACGTGCGGAAGAACCATGGAGTCGAGTCGAGTCAAAGAGTCGAGGAGTGCGTCTCTGGCAAGATTTATGTTTCGCCGCTTTGCGTTGGTGCATTTGATTTCGCATGAGACCGGTTGTGGTCAGAGAAGGCTTCAATGTCGCGAGTGTTGAAGTGCCGAAGTGTCTGGCTCAACCAGCTCCCTTCCCATTCAAGTGGTTTCGTCCATGCGAATGTAGTCACCAGTGTTCTCAGCCAGCCAGAACTACAGCAAACAGATCCATGACAATTGCCTGTTGTTGCTTTTCCTTGCTTCTCCAACGAGCTAGCGAAATCGGTTGTAACCAGCGCTACCGTTGCTGGTGGGCACAACTTTTACAATTGCTTGCCTATGTATCTCGAACTGCCTCTCGCCACCACTGCAACGGCACCGGTACGGTCCCGTCCACGGGAAGCCACTATTCGTTTGGTGTGTGCGCTTATTATAATGATTGCTGAATAATAATACTTCGCCTGCAATAACTGAAGAATCAGGGCTTCCAAAGCAACAGCTATGCCTCTCCGATAACATTTGCGGGGATCTACCGCACCCACGAGATTGACCGACTCTCCTCCACAGGCATAGCGAGTTGTCATTGTTTACCCTCAGTGCTGGTTATGAATAAGCCGACGAGAAACGGGCTGAGGGGCAAGCTCCAGTGACCCTATCGTTTCTCCTCATCCCCATCAGTATCTTCCTGTTGTTGATTTCTTTCAGCTTTCAGCTTTTCTTGTTGGTTTTGTATTGCTTTTTCAGCCAAGGGTTTCAGTAATTGTTGAATTTGTCTCGAAGTGGCCCTCTTGGAGGGATCTTGGTCCCAGCATTTGAGAATGGCCTTCACCAGTGCCTTGACCATGGGATTCTTACTATTCATGTATTCTTCTGGAATTTCCTGTCTTTTGCCCTCTTTCACCGCTTCCATTGCATCCTTCTTTTTCATGTCCTCAAAAGGATATTGCCCCGTCAGGATTACATAGAAGATATTCCCCATGCTGTAATTATCAATGGCAGCAGTTTCGGGTTCATAGGCTATTTGTAAAACCAGCGTGACAAAGAATGAAACCAGCAAATATCAATCATGAGCTCAATCACAAACCAAACAACATCACTCTTCTTTTTGAACAATAACTTACCATACTCTTCCGGACTTCGGAATTTGCCCTTGTTACTACTGACATGAAATGGACACAACTCGTTGGGATCATCCTTGGCCCGGTACAAGAATCGCGCTCGATTGAAATCATTAATCTGATAGGTCTCTCCATCATCCGTTGATACGAACTGACTCATACTGATATCGGTATGCGACATGCTGGGATGTCCCTCTCGATCAATATTGTGGACATCGGCAATGGCATTGGCCACTTGATAGGCATACACCATTTTGATGACGGGTGTCCATTTCTTCCACTCGTCTTCGTCATCCACGACATCCTCCAAGGATCCCCCTGCGGCAAATTCGTACAATCCCGTATTGGCACAATACCCGTACAGATTGAGCGCATACGGCGATCCCGTCAATCGATCCGTGGCGAGTGCATCTCGTCGATGTCGATCTTGATTTCGTTCCGACCAGGGATGCTCATAGAGCAATGTTTTCATGGCAATGGGTTCTCTCGATACGTCGGGTGGCAAATCGTTGTTTTCGACCAACCAGACATCGCGATATCCACCGCTAGCCAAGAGCTTCGATTCGGGTTTTTTGGCCTGATTGAGGGTTCTCATGCGAGTCAAGATATCAGTTTCGTGTAGTGAATTGCAATTGGGAAAGGATAAGGTTTGCCAATCGTACTGTGGGACGCAGCCTTCCTCGGTATCATCAGGTTTGTACCTATCGTAGTCTTTGGAATTGTGGGCAATTTCTTTTTGTTCCGCCACGCCATTTCCCAATTCCCGGACGAGGATATTTTGGAAGGACCAAGAGGGTTTTCGAACTTTCGTTTTCAATGCTGGTTTGGATGGGTCCGAAACGACCTCGACTACGCGATGATTGTGCGGATTGATGCGTGCGACTTGAAACTGTTCTGGGACATACTTTGGACGAGTAGTACTGGTGTGCTTTTTCTTCAATTTGGCAAGAGCCGAACTTCGTCGTCGATTGACATTGTAATTGGCGGCTAAACTCTCACGGGTAGAATTCACCAGCAGAAATCCCATCATGCGTGGCTTGGCTTGATACTCGGCTTGTCGAAAGAGGGAATTCCCCGTGAGTATATTCCATGTCTTGGATGACAGCGACACATCGTTGTATAAAACTCGATCTGCACTGCCCATCCGGAGTTCCTCAAAGGCCATTCTCAGCTGCTGTTGTAGTGTGTTATTGTCTAGCAGTTCTTCACCGCCCTTACGGAGTTCCTCAATGGCCATTCTCAGCCGTTGTTGACGTGTGTTATTGTCTAGCAAAAACTCGGTGGGATCTTCCATTTTGGCCATTATGGCAAAGGTCGATCCAGCCACTAACGTCACCAATATCATAAGCCCACACCAACAACGTTTCCCTCGATTCCGTAACAGACACAGTCGACCTGTATCCAAACAGGATCGCTTTGGCTTCGGCTTGCCATCGTGAAACGGGGAGGGGGAGGAGCCATTCAGTTGATGATGTCCATTTTTCTTCATGGGGGAAGAATTGGTGGGAGGGGGGCTGCTGCCTTTATTGGGTGTCCGTCGAATCGGCATGGTATCTGACATCTTATAGGTATGTAAAATGGTAGCAATGGTCGGCTTTCGTAGATAACTACCTGCTCTTGATCTCCTTCTTCATCTGGCGAAAATTTGGCCCAATTTTTGTGGCGCCAAGGTTGGAAGATCGCGGAAGAGCACCTTTGAAAACCGTTGGATGTCAAACAGTCATAGTGGCATTCGTCCAATCGTGGTACGACTAGAGGTGTCTTGCTTGGTCGCTAGCTATGCATAGCTCTAGCTAGCTCGGGTACCAGTACATGTAGCTAGAAAACCCAACTTGCAGCTACATGTAGGCATACATGTAGTCGGTGCCCGGATGACAACCCAACGGCATGCCCTCGCACTCTTCAGAGGAACGAGAGAACAACCTGGCAGTCAGCTGCAAGAGATATTTGGAGGACACAAACTCGCCCCAGTCAGAAGGCATTTGTTTGTGGCTGCCCAGTTGGCTCTTGCTAGCTAGCTAGCCAGCTGGGCACCAAGAAGTTGTGAGTGGTCAATTTGGCCTCGGGATCCTGAGTGATCAAGAGTCCCCTCCAAGATGTTCCGCCGCTTGGGTTGGTGGTGGGTTGGTGATTTGATTATAAATACTGGGGGGCCAGTCCGCACCAGTGTTCACAGCCAGTCTGAGCCAGCTAGCTAGTAGCTAGAACCAGCCACAGCGAACAACAAGTCAATGGCAAAGTGCTTTCCGTCAACTTGATGTGTCTAGGTACCTAATGTCTACTAGCAAAATCGGCTCTAGCTAGCCGCCATGGTGGGAATTTGCTTGGCTATACCGTATCGATCTATGCATATAGATTTCCATCTGCGGCGATTCTTTCGGTGTGCAGGCTTCGTCATTATTACTAATTATTCGCCTGTTGCAACAACCGTTGATACTCGTGGACAAACTGTGTGACAAAGGCTCGTTGCACATCGGTTTGCGGCGATCGTGACAATACAGAGGGCATGGTATCGTGTCCCAAGCGACTGGCATATGCCGTTTGCATGATCCGCAGAATATCCGTAGGCGACAATGAGGGATAGAGTAGACTCAGGAGACAGCTTCCCACCAATCCGGCACGGCCTCGTCCACCCCAACAGTGCAAATAGATTGCCTTTTTATTGTGTGGGGTGAGAAGAAAGTTGAGCAAGTCGAGTAGCAACTGTTGGAGTGGTTCTTGGGATTCCGGAACATTGAGATCTTCAATGGGACAATGCAGAAATTGGAGAGTATCTTTGTCGTCATCTCTCCAGAACTCTTTTACCATGGGAGCGTAGTGGGTAAATGGATGCGGAAATCTTTGTCGGAGGCTTTGTGGTTCTAGAAATACCAGGCCTCCCCTTTGGGCCCACGTGTCGTAATCATCCTGGGGCGGCAATTCAGACTGCAAGGAGCAAAAGAGCCCAATCTTGGCATCCTCCACAAGCAGCTGTACATGTTGTCGGACTTCCTCATATGTGGGACCTCCTTCGGCTGGGGTTTGTGCGGGATACTGACCAATCATGAGACGACCGGGAATCACCCAATTGCAATAACCACGACGTTGTTGTCCGCCGTCCAGCGCAAAACTGGAAGGATAAAACAACTTGGCACTCAACCGGTCGGCCGTGTCGTCATACAAGTCCTGACATAATAGCTGTCGTACTTGAGCCGCTCGATCCAAGAATTTTGCACTAAAGGCGTGGATCATTGCGCTTGGCAGGGCGGCACGAAATCCAAAACAAATTCAAGGGCACGCTGCTGCTGCTGGAGCCAAACAGCAAAAAGGGAAGCCAGTGCCCACGACGACGACGACAAAACATGGATGTTGAGGAAGCCATGGTCCATCGGATTATGAATGTGGCGGCTGTGAGCAGTGAGGGTTGACGGATCTTGGATCTTTTCGTACAATCGAAGCATCTGCACACCCCTGATGATAAGAAACCAGAATGGGGCTTACCTCACTGAAAAGCATGCATGAGACAATGTGTGCAAAGACAAAGCAAATAAGAAGCATGGTAAAATAAAGGGGGGTTAGAGTAGAGAAATTATCTAGGGAAACCAGCCGGGGCCAGGCTTAGGAAAAGAAAGGAAAAACTCAGGACGATTTTCCGTGGGATCAGGGGCAAGAAAGTGAGGACCATATTGTGGTGGATCACAAGTTCTCTCCCAATTCACAACAAAGTGAAGCTAGACCTTAGGCCCATTTTGAAATTACCTACAATAAAGTAGTGCTTCTTAGTTAGATGCAATGCATTCAACCGGACGAGCCACGAAGCTGAAGCACCATAGTTATCAGATCCACCAGGCCCAGCCTCAAATCCACCAGGAAGGTCGAGCCACAAAGCTGGAATTGATATTAGATCCAACATGTTGAAATAGATCTAATGGAATCAGTCAACCAACCATGCAGGGTAGTCTAACCACAAAGCTGAAATACGAATCATGGATCTTTTTGTGCCGTCTTAGCTTAGGTCTCCACACCACACCTCTGATGAGTACGGTACGTAAGTAAGAGTGGCCGCGCCACAATATTGGCATCCCACGAGAACGAGGTTATTAGTGTCTAAGATTTCATCAGTTTACTAATAACTACCTAGATATTTTATTGTATCTATTCACCGCAGAGAATCGATCGTCAATCTACCTGTGGTAGCTAGCTAGGGAGTGCTGGAGCTGCTATCATTGGCTTTGAGCTCATTCAGCAGCTCCTCACATTCCTTCTTCTGACTATCTGACATATTCTTATGAGCACATTTGCCAAGAGCCTTCTTGAGCCAAAATAGGGCAACTGATTTATCCACAACCACTCCGTAGTTGCCTCTGGCAAGTACCATTCCCAAAACGTGTGCTGCCCAGTCTGAACCGTGGCCTGCTGCCATGGTGAGAAACATGATGCCTCTGATAAGACATTTACGGACACCCAAACCTGCCAGATAATAGTGACCCATTACTGCTGTTGCAATCACACTCCCTGCACAATGTGCTTTCTCGACCCATTGGAAGGATAATTTGAGGTCTTGCTCAACCGCAGCAGTGCCCCGTACATAATTGA